CTCGTAACTTCGTGAATGTATAAAATTATTTTATATTTATCCAAATCTCTCATTAATAAACCAAAAAAAGGATGGTAAAAATAAAGTTAGAGTGATAATTAGGACAACATTATTATTTAGATTTAAACATGGGCGAAAGAATTCTTCATTCTAATTATTTTCTTACTCATGACATTGTATTTTTTGAGTTTATTAATGAGGCTTCTGGACGAAGAAGTATAGAATAATTTTATACATTCACGAAGTTAAAAGAAAATATATAATGAATTTTTTCATTGTACTAAATCACCTGTATACAGGTTCTAATTAGCATTTACCCAAATTAAATTTATATTTTAACATCGAAATTATTTAGTATTAAAAATTGCAATTTCACGAGGGATCTCGCTGAGGAAAGATCGACCGTGAGTTCGCCGTAGAATCTGTGACACGTACACCCCATATACATACAAATACATATATATACGCACTGAATAGCACGTGGTATGCGAGCGATTATACACGCGACCGCAGAGCGCGAGAACACGAGAGCTCGAAACCGCCAATCGAGATTTCTCGCCGAGCATTTCTCGTCGACGAAGCCGCGAAAAGAATTCCTTGCGGGATGAGAAGGGGTATAAAACCTCAATGATCTGTTTGTACAATTGACCTTCCTTGATTTGCACAACTTTATTCGACTGTTCTGATTTCACTTTCCAATAATAAAAGAAACACAAATACAAGTGCATCTCTTCACGCATGAGAGTACTACCATTTTATGGAGAACCGAAAGTGACAAAAATAAGTAACAAAGAGAACTCTTTACGATCCGTTTTTGCGCGAGAATATCCGGTAGGAAGTTTCTCTGCTGATCGCACAAACATTCGCATCCGCACAAAGTATGCAAAGTTAACGAGTCGAAGTGCAACAATGAGTTCGCGTTACACGCGAATGTCGCGTGATAATCGCGCGATGACAATCAAGATTTGACAAACTCGCTAGGAACGACCGGGAGAGAAAAGCCCGCGTCCTTCGTCCTGGATGTCTTACACAAATCAACGTGCCACTGCGAAGACCGCTTTTCCCGAAACGAAGATCGGTACAATCGCCCGAGCAAAGTTCGACGCACCCGATGGAATTCCAAACGCGAGCGCGTTCCGGCGAACTTTTACGCGCGGATGAACGAAACGTCAACTTCACGTTAACTGCCCCCTCTGATTTACGAACGCACGCGACCGTCGTGTCCCCCCTCCCCCCCTGCCGGAATGTAAAGATGCGATATTTCGCCTCGGTTACGATCGAAAGTGCGAAGGGAGGTTGAACAACGAAAAAGGAACGCTTGCGGTCGAAACATACGGTATTTCCTACGGTCGGTGTTTTCAGCGAACATACTTGACGGTTCGAGAGAAAGAGAGAGAGAGAGATATTTCGGGAGAGAACAAAGAACCACGTTCATATGACAGATCCTTCACACGTCTGTTTACGTCGCTAGCCTGACGCAGAGCGAACTCGACTCGGGCGCGAGAGCAAAATGTAACGGGCGAGAAGTGCAGAAAAGTGCAGAGAGCGCAATGAGGTTGCGCTCGTGTTGGTATTCAGATAGCGCGATGAATTTCTACGAGTGTTCCTCGAGTTTTCTCCTTTCCTGAATTGTAAATCTTTGGGAATCCATGGAAGAATATTATAAAAACGATCCGGGAAGTTATATGCAGTATGATTAGAATTCCTTGGAGAACTTCTTGGAGTATTCACGTAGAATTACTTCGTATCAAGACGTATACTTTGCGAATTCAAGAGATTTATGAACAGAAAGAGGAATGCAAAATATCCAATAAATAGCAACTCTGAAGATAACGTTACATCAATGTTATAATTGGTCGCTCAACAATATAATTGTTATGTACGTCATGTGTTATATGTAACACTCATACTGTTAAGTGGGAAATTATAATACTGATGTAACGTTACTGTGTTAGTTGATGTTTATGAGAGAATTTGTTTCTTAGTTGTTCTCAGAAAATACATTTTCCTATTGGATACGAGGTGCGTTGTTGTGAGGCTCACAAAAAAAGTGTCGCAAACTTTCTCCAGCATTATATGTATTATTTGAGGCTTCTTTAGGTCCTCGTTATGTCCTTCTTTAATGACGTCAGAAGCGAGAAATCGTACGGCAAAATATATTACGGTATATGTAGAAATCAAAGAATATGCGCACAAAACGACATTCGTAATCGATTCGACACACTTGTAAAAATATCCGTACGCTTTCCTTGAACAATCAATAATTTTCGGCTAATTTTTGACCTATTTTTTCTCATGATTTCTGTCACGTTAATTTCACGACTGTTCAGATTAAAGGAAAGCGTCCGGACATTTTTTAAAGTGTGCTGAATCGGTCACGATTGCCACTTTGGTCATGTATTCTTTTATCTCCATATTTTGCGATTTCTCGCTTCTGACGTCATCAAACAAGGACAATGCAGCGAGGGACCAGGGACTTGAAAACGAATCCTCTGTGAACCTTCTATTCACCTCTACGCCATCTGGGATATTTCGCAATCGCGAAGGGAGGAGAGAGTGAGAGAGAGACGCAAGGGTCATTTTCGCGCGCGCGCACGGAAATCTCGATTCTCGTCGAAACGATACCGGTTTCGAGGGCTTTCAATTTCCCGAAGCCCGAGCTAGTCGAACACGGGGAGACAGGACGAGTGCGCGCGCGCGCGCGCGAATGCCGCGGTGCGAATTCTGACGTCGTGGAATCCGCTTCTTCGAAAACTTCGCTCGTCCCGCGAGCTTTTCTCCTCTCTCGGAAACGCCGATGTCTCGCGTTTCGTATCCGCTGAAACGCGGATATTCGTGCTCGCCGAGATATCTCGATGCAACAATACGTACCGGTTCCGTACGACGAAGCGGTTTCGGAAACAATGGCGCTCGACGGTCCTCCTCGGCGCGCGCGTTAACGCGAATCGCCGAGTCGCGTGAATTTGCCGCGGATTCCGAACGCGTGTAAATTCCGAAAGCTGCGCGGCCTGCGCGCCGCCGTCGGGTCGTCGGCGACCGCTCGCTCATGGCGCGCTAACTTTTTGAAAGATCGCCACGAAACGAACTCCGGAACGAACATATATCTGCTGCGAAATTCCACGCTAAACTCGACGACAGCGACGACGACGACGACGATAATGAGACGACGCGTCAGAAAGCGACGGATTCCTTATTCCGCTCGCGGCGTGACCCCGAACCTTTGTGGTTTTCAATCGCGAGGTCGTCGAATTAAACATCGCGCGAACGACGACGACGACGACGACGACGACACACGACGACGGTAACAACACGGTAAGCTACTTCGCGCGATCGTCGTCGGCGCCGCCGCGCGCGCGTCTCTCGACGTTCGCGAGGAATCAATAGAGGAATGCGACGTAGCGCAAAAGAAAAACGAGAAGAAGCGAGAGAGAAAAAGAGTCGCACGCATTCCACGGGGGATCGGCTCGCCGTGTTTCGTCGCTCCGCTTTATTTGACGTGCATGCTCGCTCACTGCGTGTGCGTACGCGTTTGGTGTGCATGGGTATGCCGTGTATTTGCGCGCGCGCGTGTATTATGCTTAACCTACTCACACGCTCTGCACTGGTCGCAGCCCGCACGCGAAAGCTCGCGATTTCAAGTCGTGACACTCCTCCGCCGGCTGTTGACACTCGAGTAAACGCGACGTCGGTCGTGCGACGCGTCCGTAGCCGGCGCTCGGTGTTGCAAGCGGCCGCGTGTTTTCATTGAAAACGACGAAAATCTAATGGTATGCGGGCGGACGCGCCGGAGCCCGTTTGACACGACAGGCAGCCTCGTTGTTTGCCCCGCGCCCCACCTCCGTTGCCGCGACCCATGGCACCGCACGCCCCCACCGACCGCCGTGGCCGCGCTGTTCTCTTCACCCCCGCGCGCGCCCTCGGCCATTACGCCGGAATGCGCGGCATTCGGCCGAGCACAGCGCCACGCCGGCAAAACCGCCAACTAATCCGCCCGCAGCCTTGTAAATACGCCGGAGTATTATCGCCGACAGAAATGATACAAGCGAAACTCTCTCTCTCTCTCTCCCTCCCTCTTTCTTTCTCTCTCTTTCTCTATCTCTGTTTAAGTATTGATACCCCCCCGAGTCGTAGTCGGGATGATCGAGACACTTCTCGCTTTCCGAGAACACGTGCCCTTCTTGACGTTGTCGTCGAATATCTCGCAAGTTTGCGAAATTTTTCCCGGCTTGTCCTATTTCGTCGTATTTACAATGTATGATTTGACAATTTAGGCACGTCTGGGGCTCCGATTTATCAATTTATTGGATTGTTTTAGCTCCATGATCCGGTCTTGGCAGTTATTGCGGCTACACATTACTGTGATTTATTTTTCTCAACGATATTTATAAAGAGAAATTTATAAGAGCGTAAAGAAGAGGGACGTAGGCATATACTGCGTGTGATACGCCCAACTAATAAATAATGATAAAATGATGAAAAAGCCTTCAGTAATCAATCGGAAGAATAACAAAGGATGAAAATATCTTAAAGAGAAATTTTCAATTCATTCCAGCTTTGTTCAGGTATTCGAATTCCACAATTTTCTATGCTGCTATGTTAGCACGAATCCTTCGAATACCTCCGACTATGACTTTGCGATCTTCCACAGCTGTCGCTGCAACAATACAATCGGTCACGACTGGAAAGTAAGGGAAAAATCAGGTAGCGCAAATATTTTAGGTCGAAACAACTGCACGATGATTTAACTCAGTGTTAAATTCCTTAAATTTCTTAAATTCCTTTCCTTGACTTGGTCTTTCTTTGATTTCGACTGCACTGGGAAAATCGATGATCTGAACGAAAGATCGAAACGAAGATCGATTTTCTAGTTATTGCGGGATGATGTTACATCTGATAACAAAAAAGATCGGTAAAGATTAAATTTGCATCACAGAAGATATATCGTTCTTGGAGATGACGTTTCTTGATCAATTAAGTAAGAAATCACTAGTCGATTCAATGACATTTATACGAATTATTTATTTTCGAAAGTGATACATAATGTTTAAGAAAATTGGTGCGATGTATTTATATATTTTCAAAATTTCTGCCGCTTTTTCTTTCGAACTAAAAAATTCGTAAACATATCTTTATCGTAACGGTGTCGCAGACACAACATATAGAGGTTCATGAAAAATCAGTTAACTGAAAAATGTTTTATGGAACAATGTGATGTCGACAAGTCGACAAGTCGTGTAATATCATCTCTATTCAGAATTATGAGTATACTCTCTAACATCGCATTGGAGTCATAAAATTACATGTATAGTGACTTCATATGTATGTCATAAATTGAAATAGACCTTGCATCTAAGTACTCAATAGTGAAACAAAAAATTGTAGCTGCTTATAGGTAAGATGAGGCGCTCGTATTTTGACAGAAAAATTTTCGCAAACAAAAAAGATGTATTATTATCTACATTTCTATAAAAGCTTGAATATAAAAGTTACGACATTAAATAAACAATAAATCACTGTTAATAAGAAAACTACGCATCACAGATGTGTCGACTCCTAGTAGAATGACAACACTCAAACATTTTAACAACATTCAAAGAGTGTAGTTAAAGGAGCACAGAAGCACAGACTTTTCATGTTTAGAATATACATCTCTCTCTCTCTCTCTCTCTCTCTCTCTCTCTCTCTCTTCCGTTAGTAAATCTGTGCCTTATCTAAGTTTTTGATTCTACAAAATGTACTTTGATTAAATCGTCTCTCTTAGTATTATTCTTCTTCACATTTTATATAAACATCATATATTATTTTTATGTACAAACAGTGCAAACAGTCTAAATGTAAAGCTCACTTTCTTCGTTTACGTACGAATTTTATACGTTGCGGTGTTTACATTGCCTCGAAAAATGCTTCTTCGTCCTCGCTCGTAGTATCCATTTCCTTACATAACTGAAAAGAGTGAAAACTATAACTTAAACGAAAAATATGTGAAAATATACTTTATATGAAAATATACTTTATATGAAATATATATCAAATATATGAAAATATTTGAAAAATATATCTCCTACAAAACGCCTGACACTTAAAAAAACTCAATTTGTACAAAGAAATAGAAACGTGCTCCGTACAAAGTTCTTTATTTATTTTTATATTATAAATATAAAGCTTAAAAGATATTAATCGGTCGATACATATACCTCGTCCAGATCTGGTCGTTTTAATATCTCCTCGAGTCCTGACAATTTTTCAAGATAATTTGGCACGTTGCAAGCATCGAGCACGAAAGCCAATCCTCGTTGTTGATACTCTTTGATTAAAGGTACGGAGCAAGCCGTGCAGGATGCAAATCTATACGTGACTGTCAATTTCATGTCGTGACCCCAAAGTGAGCCACGTATCGTGTGAGGTACGCCACCCAATATTCCTACCAACGGATTATCTACGTTCTCTGTATGATCGTCTGTATTGTTATTCGTAAGTGCTCTAGCTGAAATCCTAGTAGTTATAAAAATAATTTATGAAAACGAAATAAAACAAAAAAAAAAATATATATATATATATACAAATTATGAAACAAAGGGTTTATCTTTGTACAGATAAAATAAGCCATCGAAAAAGCGAAGTTACATCTAATTACAATGTAATATATACAATGTAATATTACAATGTACAATGTGTATAATATTACATATGTCTAATATAGTTGTAGCTTACCCTTGAGGATGTTGCGTTATCGCCATGAGTAGTTCGACCGCCAAACCCGCGGCGATTTGTGATAATCCCGGCCGAGTGACAGTACATTGTTGGTCGAGTGTTCTGTCCGACTGCGACTGGAAGTAAAAATATAAATAAATATTCCACCCAGAATTGAAACGTATCTTAAAATTAAAATACGCTAATTTACATGATAAAAATTTTCATAGTTTTATGCTCGATATTTCAAATAAAAAGAGCAAACGTATACTTACATTTCCCGGTTGCGTAACGTCGTTACAAAAATAACATCCAAGATCCTGTCCCTCGGGATATTGTACTAATAAAACGTTAGACGAAGGAGGGACGGAAACATCGCGCGTACCGTGCCGCTGCACTGTATATGAGTCGAATCCCAAAGCAGCATTGATAGCTATCTTATTCATCGTGGCACACAAAAGGGTTGGCAGCCACCTGGCTTCTCGCGAGTCCAGAAGCAAGAACACCACGTCGTGAGACTGTACGAGTTCTTGCAGTTTATTCACAGCTTCCTCGGTCTTCTCCATCATACTTTGACCGACCGCGTGTCCGGGCATAGGAATATGCAAAACGATACCTTCCACGTTCTGCAGCATTAAATATTAAGTAATGTCTGTAATGAGATTTCTAATGTATGTTGAATTATTTAGGAAGCTAAAATACCTTACGTAATCTCTATAAATTCATGAAATCAAATAAAATAAATACAGGTTGTCCCATTTTAATTGCTCCAGGCAAAGATCTTGAAAAATATGGAAGATACGGAAAAACGTTTCAGGCAAAATTTGTAGGATCTGAAGGTGGACATAAGTTGGTGGCCTTAACTTCGTTAGTCAAGAAGATCATTTTAAAGTCAACTTTATATTTTTTAATGGAATCATATAATTTTTCTAACACAAATCGACTCCTCTATTCATTCTGCATATAAAAGTACCAAGGTGAGATCATCGAAAAATGAGTACTTTCCAAAATATTTTACTTTTTATTTTGATATTTCTTAGTATAAAATATGAAATATCTCATAAAATATTCACTTTTCGACAACATCATTTTAACATTTTTTTACATAATATGAGAGAAATCATTTACTGATGTTAATCATTGGTGTATCAATGCATTTGCAATGAATTTTTGTTCAAGTTTTCCCGCTTGCTTACAGCGGTCGATTCCACCTTTTATTCTACGTACAAAAGTGTTAAGGAACTTACCATGTCAGGACGTATTCTAAGTAGAGCATCTTTCGCAGCATAGGCCTTGTGCCGACGTTGCACCGCGTCTTCGTGAGTATACAGGCTCTGGCGAACCGTATTATTGTAGGAAACGTTAGAATTATCTACGAGCGTCATGTTACTAATACCCCATCCCAGGAGTATCCTTGCCACGGAACATCCTAATGTACCGGCACCCAACAGAAGACATCGCAGACCACTGATCTTTTTTAAGTCTAGATCAGGGGCAAGGCGCCATTTCATCAACTTTAAATTCAAATCGATCGCTCTTTCTGCTAATCTAGCATAACACGTAAACGTAAACGGGCACTTGTAAGTTTTCATGCTTAGTGACACAATTCCGGGTAATTTGTGGAACTTAAGGAACCTTACTTGGTCGGATCCATAACGTTAGATAATTTCGCGATTGTAGGAGCCATTTTTCCATGTGCACCAGTTTCCCAACCCACTAGGTGACCCTCAGAAATAGCTTTCTTCATGGCTTCCACGTCCGTGTGTTCTTTGATCCTAAGAGTATATATAACTGCAGCCACTTGCGCTCTATCACATCTCATAGACAGGATCTTGATACTCCGTGTAAGGCAAAATGTAGTGCAATGGAATAGCAACAGGCACAGCAGATTTCGCAAAGGCCATCCAGGCTCTGTACTCGTGCAAGGATCATAGAATGCAAAATACACTTCATCCTTTGCCTGGTAAAATTAAAGATAAATTTATCATCGTCAAGTTACCATTGATTTTTGTTAGTCTCGTAAATCATTAGAACCATTGCCTCATTAATTGATATAAACTTATTTATTGATATAAATTGTACCTGTTTTGAATCTCCTCTGTTATCAGCATTTGATCTTGCATGCTCTACTCCTTTCGATAAGTCAGCAATACTTAAGTCATTATTTTCAGACACAAACACTGAGAAGAAATTCTTTGATCTTGCATCTAGCTGAAGGAATTCTGTATGCAATTTATCTATTTGATCAGTGTTAAATAGACTATGTGCAGGTTTTGATGGCTCGACCAAGTAGATCTCCGGCAAAGAGAAAGGTGTTGGATGTGCAACCCAGTAATAAAACTGATACTTCTTGAGGTCAGAATATGCAAGCATTAAGAATACTGAAAGTCGCCAAGGTTCTCGCAAAGCTGTGCCATCTATGATACTGTCTGTAATACATTTACCCATGGTATCAATAAATTCTTCAGGTTTTATCTGACGATATGCTTCATAAGTATTTGTATTAATCATATAGCCACAGCAAGCTACTGCCATATTGCTAGCAATTGTCTCGGCATTTCTAAAATTCACCTAAACATTAGCTTATCTCTCATTTATTACATATTGATATATAATTTATAAAACAAATTTAATCACATTAATAGAGCTAACATTAATAACATAGATAATACTATATAGTTAAATCTAAATTGATCTAACCTCTATATATATAAGAATAAAAAGTCATATTATCTTTATAATTATACAATACTCACTCATTAAATGATTCATAGTCAAGCATTAATGGTTTGGTTCTTATTCGCTCAGTCATTGGTTGAAGGGAAAAACTACCCCATAAATGTATCTTGGATTTCTCATCTAATTTCAATTTCTCCAATTTCAGTTCTGCAAATTTCGCCCAGAACCTGGGGTCCATTAATGTTTTTAATTTACTAAATTTCACCACCTCGGTCGACATCTTTGTTGACATTTAACGATTCACTCGATTCTGAAAGATAATGCAGTGAGCACAATTTACTGCGATAACTTAAAATGTAAACAGGAACAATTGTAATTGCGATATTTTTTTTCGCTGAAAATAAAGATTTTACAGGCAGTTTAAAAATATGTACGAATTATACTCCGGAGAACATATATTTCATTATTCCTACACAACATTGTACAAAAGTGACATTTGATAGGTTGGAACGAGAACGGATTTATTATCGTTGTAAAACATCATATCAGCTTTTGGGAACGCAGTATCTCAGTTACTCTGAAAAACACGATGAACATGAACACGTTGACGGCGAGTTGTAAACCTTCGAAACAAGTACGCACATATGTATGTATACCTCTCGGGAATTGCGAATTACGTAGACAACACTCACTACACACGCGCGAGCATTATCGATGCCTTCACATCCGTAACTAAGTATTTCCGGATGGAACGTATCGCGCCCAGAGATTTGCTCGTTTCGTTGGTTCAACTTTTTTGTCCTTTCTACATTCAAAACAAAGTGAATCTACATTCAGAGCTGCGTCTTTGATAATTTCATAAATGCATATTGACATGTGAATGAACGAACCAAACTAATTTTGAACTCACTTTTATAAAAATGCCTTTAACGTAGCTTCTCAGCCAATCGGATGGTTCCTACGCCGCTTTTACAGGTACTTTCATCGATAAAAGTGAGTTCAAAATATGGACTATAGAGAGAAGAGGATTTTTTATACTCATCAATCTAATTTTTCGATGAATACAGCGTGTTTTTCTCCTAGCATTTTATTTAATTAGAACATTAATTCTAACAGTGCCATACGGAACGTTTATTTCATTTCTACGACTCATCGGTACTCGCTGTCGTTATCGGTTTATTTATATATACCTCGTAAAATATGTGCGGAGAGGCGTATCGATACGCGAAGAATATCTATATACATGCGTGTATGCAGATAACACAGCTGGTCATAAAGGGAGGAAAAGTGTATACGTAGCGACGTAACATTAGAACACTACATATCGTCATTTTAATTATTTTTATGGGAAATAATAACTAGAAATCAGAAATTAACCAATCACACGATCTTCGGACGAGAAATCCAGTTTCTCAGGTGGAACAAAAAGTGACGATGACGTCAGATTATAAAAACTCATTTGTCGATCATTTCCTCATCATTGACGTCATCGTCACTTTCTGTTCTACCTGGGTTGTGTATCGAATAAAAATTATGAAAATTACGCTGAATGTAATTAAAATGTTAATTCAAGAATAACGCTTTTCTTCTCCTAAACCTTCGCTTTTGCAAGATATATCGTAACGAATCTATTCTGGCAGCTTTGAATCTTTGAATTTTTTCATCTGGGACAAAGCCAACTTCACTCTGACAAAGAACGCTGGGCCCGAAACATTGCATTGTCCGTCGCATCGTGCGTTTTCCAGTGTTCGCGCGAGTATAACGAGCGAGTAAAATTTCCTCGTTTAAGTAATCGCAATCTGTGTACACGCTGTGTAAGCAAGTAGGGCGGAATAGGAAAGTTAAACGCACGATCCTTAGACCTCACGAGGACGAGGATTTCGCAATTGACCCGCGATTGACGTTGTGGTCGAGCGTCGTTTGTGCATGTACGAACAAGGGCGCCAACAAGCTACTTCTCAGTGAGAGGTACATATCCACAGAAATACTTCTCCCCGACTCCATGAGCATCTCTTTCTCTCTCTCTCCCTCGGATGAAAACGACATTGATAAGAATCTTATGTATTTCATACAATTATTACGCAAGAGATGAGAGTTACACATTAACCTCAATCTTGCGATCACGAGATATTTAGATATCGACTGATCGATAATTTACAACCGGTGATTACATCCGCCTCAATTGTTCCCGTCACTCGCTAATTATGATCGCGTATCGCTCAATAATCATATCTATTAAATTAATTATACCGCTATATTGTTTCCACTTAGTCATCGTTAGATAATCTAGTATAGTAATTTTACGGACCGAAGTAGCGTCTGAAGTTGGCAAGTCTCCGGCCGCGACGGGTACGGGCCTGAGCTGCGCGCGCAGATGACATCAGCACGCCAATATGGCCGGACGACATCGGCTGTCCGCAGCGCGACTGTGAAAACGGGCTGTCCGGGGGTATCAAGGGAAGTCCAGGGAAAATATGTCGGACTACCTGAGGTCCGCGCTCGGTTACCTGAACGGTGGCACCAGCGGCGGCGACGGCGAGTACGTCGGCCAGACTCTGGAGATCAACAATGTAAGACTGAAAGTAACGCGGCTGATCGCCGAGGGTGAGTCTATTTCTCCGCATATAGCGCGTGTGTACGAACGCTTTTCAAATCACGGGGCTCTCGTCGGTGACACCTCCGATCTCGCGCGATTCAGGTCGGCGACCGATTCGGCCGCGGCGGCGTCCGCGTGAAAGAAAAGAAAAACGCCTCTACGTTGGCGGGGGAAAAGAAAAAAAGCTCTGAATCTCTCGCGCGGCATATCCGCCTCTTGACATGTGTCAAACGTGTGTTTTGACACGCGGGCAAACGCGCGCACGCTGCGGGCGATCGGACTCTCGTTGTCTTTTTATCTCGCTCGCGTCATCTTTCGCTATCGCTACATTGTCGGTCAGACTCGATATTGCTGAAGGCTGTTCATTCCTATGCAATATTGACGGGTATTTGTTAACATTCTCGCTCACTCCTGCAGATGGTTTTTTTCGCCGTGCATTTTGGATTCGCATGTTAAGATTGTGTTTGCTTAATCTTCGCGTCCTCTTCGTTCGATGGCTTGATTTACGTTTTTTAATGCTATCTTAAGATTTTCATTAACACGTTGACTGCCAGCTACGAGTTATCTCGTAGGTTGTTTACTTGCCCAGGACGCCAACTACGAGTTATCTCGTCGCTTCATTACTTAATTAAATCAAATTGGCTTCTTAGACCAGAGTCGTGAAAAGTTCCGTGGCAGTCAATGCGTTAATTAGTATGTAGTATCACAAAGAACTGATCATTGGCACTGCTTGTTGTGTGTACATTTTTTGTTTTGTATGTGATGTTTTATTTATTATGTGATTTAATATATATTAGATCCTTTATGTACAATATATTTTCTTCCATATAAGCACATATTCATGTGTATATTTAAGTGTAAATTGCTTTTTTATTTTTGCATAAATACATGTATAAGTTGTATTCTTGTAATAAACATAAACATAATAATGTAAATAGTAAGAAATATACACATATGTTATACCTTGGTGAATCATATGAGTGATCTTTGATATGTTCCATATAAAAGACAAGGTTTTTGATTATCCCATTATTTCATTAGTTTAAGTACGTTTATTTATTAGGATAGATATGGTTTAGTGTATAATTTATTTATTAGAATAGTGATATGTATTTTGTTCCTCTGTACTTTATGTTTAACCCCTACAGCAGACTTGAATGTTTACTTAGAAATGCATCCTTGCATCGTACTTCTCAAGATAACAACATTTAATCCCATACATCGTTACATAAGCAATAACATTCCTTTGTGCACGCGATAAGAGAACACAAGTGAGAAATTTATACATGTACATATGGATAGATGTAATTGAATTATGTATCGTTATTAACATTTGGCTAATTTGTGGCAAACGTCGTATCAACAGGTGGATGGTCATTGGTGTTCGCGGTAGAAGATGTTGCCACGGGAAAAGAATACGCGCTTAAGGTAATCGAAGTAATTCTTCTCTCCTGCCATGCGGCGAATCATCATTATTCATTAACACGGGATTATTGTCTTTCACATCGTCAGAGGCTTATCGCCCTCGACGAGGAGACGAACAAAGACATTATACAGGAGATAGAAACGCTCAAGAGGCTGTCGGGTCATCCGAATATTATTCAATATTTGCACGCGCAGCGGCTGGAGCGAGAGAATCAGAAGGGCTACGAGTACCTGGTCGTCACCGAACTGTGTCCGGGCGGTACCGTGGCCGATATACTCAGGAGCGTGTCCGTGAATACGCTGACTCTCGCCCAGGTGTGCAAGATCGCCTATCAAGCGACCAGAGCGGTGCACCACATGCACAGTCAGCAGCCGGAACCGCTCATCCATCGGGACGTTAAGTTAGAGAACTTCTTACTCGGGAGAGACGGCCTTGTGAAACTCTGTGACTTCGGTAGCGCCTCGACACAACAGATACTACCGAGCCCGTCATGGAACGCTCAAAAACGCGCCACTCTGGAGGACCAGATGGCCAAATACACAACCCCCATGTACCGCGCACCAGAGATGATGGACACGTGGAACAATGAACCGATAGGGCCTCCGGTGGACTGTTGGGCTCTCGGGTGTATATTGTACGCTTTAATCACACTGCGACATCCTTTCCCGGGAGGTGAGATCTCTCGATCGCGTTTCACTAAGCGTGGTGAGGCGTCACATTTGCGCGACCTTGTTATTAGATAACTTTTTTACGCATAAATATATATATATATATAAGATTGATCTTTTTTCTTCTACCTAAAGGATGTGACTACATTATAATGTACACGATATCATGAGATATTGCATGCAACTTTTTCTTTTGATCAATATATTTATGTAAAAAGTGTGACCCGGTCGTCTCCCCTATCAATTTATTATTGATTAGAAACACACTTTCGATAAAGATAAAATCACGTTATTAACCACTTTGATTGCAAATGTCCGTTTAGTGCAAACCTGACAATATATTATAATCTCGTGCTAAGACGCCAAGACCGAGATGCTTTTTGTTGCTTTGCAGATAACAAGCTATCGATCGTGAACGGCAAATATTCGATGTTACTGCCCAATCCGCGATATGCGTGCCTGCACGACCTGGTGAAAGGGTGCCTGCAAGTATCGCCTATCCAGAGGCTGACGACGGCGACGTTGTTGGAGCGCCTGGCGGCGATCGCCGAGTCGAACAACTTCGACCCGAGAGAACCGCCGCGGATCGAGGTCGCGATCAAGCCGTCGCCACCACCACGTCCGACGCCCCCGCAGCCGACGAGTGCGCCGGCGGCACCACCTCGTCCCAATCCTCCAGCGGCGATGCCACCCCCGCGACCGGTGCCCGTGAAAACGGTGTCAAAGCCGCCTCAGGGGTTCGGCCTATTCAACTCGATCAAGGGCACCATTCTGCGCAATCTCAAGGACACCTCCAGCAAGGTGATGCACTCCGTCCAGCAGAGCATGGCCAGGACCGAACTGGACGCGAGTTACCTAACGTCGCGCATACTCATCATGCCGTATCCGGCCGACGGGATCGAGTCCGCCTATCGAGCGAATCACGTGGAGGACGTGAGGGCGTTCCTGCAGACCAGGCATCCTCCACCGGCCAAGATACAGCTGTACAATCTGTCGCGCGGCCGGCCGAACGTCACGCGGCTTCCCGGCAAACACGTAGACTGCTCGTTCGCCTACGCCACCTCGGATTCGAATGCCCTCATGCTGTTCGCCTTGTATCAGATCTGCCAGGACATCTATCAGTTTCTGAACGCCGACTTCAATCACGTGGTGGTGCTGTATTGTAATGTAAGTACACCGCCCAGGATGTCTACTATTTGTTTGTGCCTGGAAAAATATCGGGAGAGTTTAAATGGATGTTTGTTTGCAAACCGTATTATCGCGTTTTTCTGCATAGATGAGTATAGTGTGGTTGAATTTTATTTAATAACAATAATTGTTTAATTAAAACTATTTATTTTAATATATTTATAAAAGTTGCATTTTTCTTGGCATCGGTTATGTATCACATAATTTTTTTTTAATCGGTAACTTTCGAAAATAAAATTTGAAGATTTTATGCACAATATATTTTTTAGAGTCTTTAGAGATTTTCAAAAAATTTTTCAAATTTAATCGTCGAAACTTGGGTGATTTTTAATTTAATTTTATGATTTATAAACTTTTATGAATGAAAAATATTAGGGACTCTCCGCACAATAAATATATAATACAATATATAATATGACATATTTTCATCCGCAAGATATGTTTAGATATATTTTCATTTTATCTGAAATTTTTAACCAATTTCCCTGGAAAATCGGGGAATTCTCAGGGAATCTTTCAGGTTTGAGCAGACACCCTGACTGATCAGTCGATTCGATCGAGGAATTCGCGAGCGCTATCTCACCTTTGATCCTTCCAGGACGGATACCGCGCGTGCGCCACGGTGGCGTGCTCCCTGCTGATCCACTGCGGCGCCTTCGCCACCACCGAGGAGGCGATCTCGCTCTTCACCACCAGACGCTGCCAGTCGCCGAATCTGCAGGTCGAGGAGCTGCGCAGCATCAGTTACATGAGCCTACTGAGCAACGGTACACGCCCGCACACCAAGCCGCTGGTCCTTCGTTCCATCACGATGCAGCCGGTGCCGCGGTTCACCCGAGCGAAGGACGGCTGCCGGCCGTACGTCGAGGTCTATTGCAACGGCGCGTTGGTCTTCACGACGAGGAAACCCAACTACGAGGAGATGAGGCTGTTCAGTATGATGGAGGGCAAGGTCCGCCTGAAACTTGGCGACGTGACCGTGCGCGGCGACATTACGATAATAGTGTACCACGCCAGGCAGCAGCTCGGCCGCGTGATCGGCATCAAGATGACCTCGCTGCACTTCCACACCGGCTACATGTGCTTCACCGAGAGCGAGTCGACATCCGAATGCGCGATGTCGCCTGAGGGCGCAATGACGTCCGAGAGCACGTGGACATCCGAGGGCACCTTGACGTCCGAGAAATGCGACTTGGACGACGCGCCGGAGGTCGGTGGTAAGTTCCACATGATGCTGCACGTCGTCAAAACAGAAGAGAACCCGAAGCTCTCGAGAATACCGGCACCCTGGGAGGCGGAGACGTCCGTCAAGCCTGTGCCGGACCCGCTGTTCGGCTCGACGCTGGAGATGGAGGAGACCTTGGAGAACTTCAGAACCGTTACGGGAAAGGTGAAGTCTTCCCTCGTACGAAATTATCGATTACACCGGTCAACACAAACTTATTTATTTTTTATTGGCCTGAATTTACATTTAGGATTATGTTACTAAACTACTAAGTTTGTGTTGCTCTTCTAATGATATAAGCTACCGTTTCTGCAATCCTTACTTCTTATTGCAGACTCAGCCGGCGGTGTCGTCGAACGAGCTCGACGCCACGGTGCCGCAACACGAGGTAACTCACGAGGCTGACAACTCGAATGAAGAAGAGGAAGAAGTGGCGGAAATGAAGAACGAGGAGAACAGCTTTCAAGAAGCCGACCTGCTGAACCTCGGCATGCCGGACAGCACCAGCATTAATACTTCAAATACTCCCACCGCAGCGACGGTTAATCCAGGATTAGACATATTCTCTAATTCTAGTCAGAACGAAAGCGATCTCTTAGGCGGGTTCGGCCTGTCGTCGACGCAGGTCGAGACCGCCAACTCGATACCTTTAATCAACAACAGCGCCCACGGTGACTTATTGTTCGGGCACGAGGAGTCCACGAAGAGCAACGCCGCCCACAACAACGGTAGTCTGAACGACTTCTTGTTCGGCCAGAATCAAACTTCCAACGTCAAAGAGGTCAACGACTTCCTCTTCGACCCATTGGGCGGTAATTCCGCGAGCAATCTTATCGGCGGCCTCCAAGCTGGCCCGAAGCCGAACAACCTGAAGAGCCCGAATACTGAGGAGAGCTTCCCACGGAACGCCAGCGTGCCGAACTTCGGCGCGCAGAGCAAGGACCCATTCGCGAATCTCGCGGGCTCGCTGGGCGCCGGTCTAACGTCCAGCTGGAACGGCACGCCGAAGAACTCCAACACGCCGCAGTCGGCGAGCCCGGCGCCCGCCAGCACGCCTATCCACTCCAGCCCGAACATCCACAAATCCAGCAACACCAACAGCACCGTCAACAACGACGCGACCAATCACGCGGACGCGTTCGGCAACAAGGCGACGAAGGAGAAGTCGAGCGGCGACGCGTTCGAGGACCTGCTCGGCAGCCAGGGCTACAACTTCTTCAGCTCGCGTAAGGCGGACAAGGATAGCCCGAAGACAATAAACCAGATGCGGAAGGTGGAGGCGGCCAAGACGATGGATCCGGACCGGCTGAAAATCTCGGAGTGGACCGAGGGCAAGAAGGGCAACCTGCGCGCGCTTCTTTGCTCCTTGCACACGGTCCTCTGGCCAGAGGCTGACCGGTGGCAACGCTGCGAGATGCATCAGTTGGTCACGGTTGCGGATGTTAAGAAAGCGTACAGGAGAGCCTGTTTGGCTGTGCATCCCGATAAGGTATCTGAATCGTGCGAATGTACAATCTCACCGCGCAATTATCAACGTCTTCCTCTCTTTCTCTTTGTTGGAGAAGTAATTAAGATAATTGGTCCGTGAGAAACTAATACTGTTGGAAATGATTAATATAATACGAAGAAGTTCGACAAAATTGGAAATTAAATAGGCTCTTAGATTCAACGATCAATAAGTAAGATTAGATGGGTTTAGAGCAAAATGATAGTGCGAAATAAATCAAAGAGATTAGTCCTTTAAATATTGGAATATATACAGGGTGAGTCACTAAAAACCTCACAGGTTAATATTTCTGAAACTAAACGAGACATGAAATTCTTATTTTCCAGCGACCGTTTGGTATCGAAGCACACATTTTCTAAGATTTTCTAATATTTACTTACAGCGATCGATTCCATTTGTCGTTTTACATAAAATATGTTGAGGTGATGTTATTAGAAAGTGAATATTTTAGGTGATATTTCGTATTTTTTATTGAAAAATATCAGAGTAAGAAGTAAAATGTCTCGAAAAGTATATTCGCTTTTCGATGATCTTATCCTAGTATTTTTATACGCAGAATGCGTATAAAAATGGATTTAAAGTGAAAATGAAAAATTTCTTTGTATTCTTCGCATTTTTATATATTAAGTGCAGATCTTTAAAAATATTCAGCCATTCTGTCTTTAGAAAGATGTCTAAAAACGAAGAGACAAAGAGAGATATAGCGCGTTCACTATTGCCAAATCTTCACAGAATAGCTATGTCATACTTCAATCGTTATCAGAAATTGTGCTTTATATATCAATTTCTGGAAAATGGTCAACAATTTTATAATATTTTTATAATATTTCTAAAATTTCTTTTGTCTTCTTGTTTTCCATTAAAACCGCAAGAGTTAGTTTGATTGCTAGAATTAAAAACGTGATATCGGAAGCCGATTTTATATCTGTGATATAAATAAATATTATATATAAATAATGCTAACTTTGATTCCAATTATCTCTGCTTCGGTATGGTCGATCTTTTTCGAATTTTACACGTGTATAGATCATATTTCGATTAATTAACGTGCTGTTAAATTTTTGAAAAGATTCCTGAGAGAATTTATTTACGGACCAATTATCTTAACCGTTTGATCAGACCAATTTAGTTCGGTTTAAACGGTTTTTTGAAACGTGTGATCTCTTAATATGCGTCTCGCACATGTGATCGACTCAATATGAAACACTGTGTCTCTCTCTCTGTGTTGCAGCAAGCGGGCACGGTGAACGAGAATATAGCGAAGTTGATCTTCATGGAGCTGAACAACGCGTGGAGCACATTCGAGAACGACGCGTCGCAGCAAAATCTATTTAACTAATTTTAATGACCGTTATCTGTTATCGAGAACCTGTCTCTGTAATTAATTTAGTTCCTAGCGGAAGGGAAGTTAAGAACAGGCGAACGGGGGGAGGGGAGTCTCGTTATCCGTGAGATAACCGCGCAACTGCATTCCGACTACGTTATTTTAGCTGTTAGAGAAAGAACGGGGAAAGTGTAATCGTCAGAAACGATGACGACGAGATGGGAACAGCGCTTCGTGGAAGTATCTCCTTATCGTTTCAACGCCTTGTAAACCTAGTAAAAAAAAAAAAAATGAAAAGACAGAAAAAGAAAGAAAACGCTCCCAGTTATGACAGTACGGCGCAACGTATATGTATATAACGTAAATGTAAATTAAAAGAAGATCCCAAATATACGAAAGATATTTTCCGGTCGAAAAAAGAAGCACTTTTTTGCTTTGTCGCTGGAATGTGAAGGAAGTTCGGCGTTCTCCGTAGAGGTATTCCATATTTTTGTCTCCGCGCGATATCTGTCGGTTTCTTAATCATGTACAACAGACTCCACTGATGCTGTCGCATCCCCTAGATTTAACATTGGAAATTTCCAATTAGGCGTACTATTTTTTAATATTTATGCGTGATAACTGCTGCTCTGGAGGATCATTGCCGAGATTCATCAAATTATTGACAGTTGTGATGCAAAGTAATGCTGTTTATTGGAAATTCTCGATATCGCTATTCCTAGAAAATGGGATAGCATAAAGAACCATTTACAAACCGTAAAATAAGCAATAAGACATAAAAAGTAAGTTAAAAGACCAAATTGGACTCTCACGATCCAAGAATAATCGACTGTGGTTGGTCAATTAGCTCGCTGCTTACGTCTTACTGCATATTTTACGGCTGTTGTAGACGGTCTTTTAATGGAACCCGCTGTACGAGCGTCACACGTGGAATAACGACAATCACCAAGTCGATAGAAGCTACATTTTCAAATTATCTAAAACGTGTGGAATCATTTCTGCTGAGAATTCTCGTAAGCGACACTTGTCGATAATTTCAGATACGGAATACCATTACTGTGGGTAATACCTGATACTTCAAAGACTTTATCTCCTATCCTTTGTTATGTTTTTTACTGCGTACATTTTAATTTATTTACAAGGATAATTCTTTATCCTCGATGAAATCGTTATCCAAACGAGCGCTCGGATTCCCGCGCTCTTTTTGTATTTTCGAAAGCCCCTAATGGACTGTCATAAATCTCGACCGGCGCGTCAGTTTCGCCCGCGAGTTCATAAATAACGTTATTTACAATTTTCGATCTCTCGTAAGCGGGGAGCTATTATTTTCCCGACGTCTCGCTCGAAAAAGGATTTATCTCGCGTTCCAAGAAGAATCCCTCCTCTCGAAATCAGGTCGCGGCTTCTGGGACACCTCGTATCGCAGAAGCTCGCGAGATCTGTTCTTTTTTAATTCGCGGGACGCGCTGCGAGACATTTATAACGGGCGTCAGCAAAATCCGCGAGTGTTGGTGGTATTGTTGAGGAGCCGCCGATACACACTCGACACGCGCCACACACACACATATATAATGTACACACAGAGGGAGAGAAAGAGACAGGCGCAATGGATGAGAATGACTGAGCGCGCTCGCGTGGACCACAGGCCACAGGGGTGAAATTTAAAGGGAGGGGCTGCTCGAAAATGGCCGTTACGCACGGGGTAGATCGTCCGGGGGTGGGCAAGTGACGGCTCTTCGTCCCTGTCTTCCAACACGGACCAATTGACCGGCCGCCTCGGGGCGATCGACACGGTTTACCAATCGACTGTTATTATGCGGTGGCCGAAAAGCGATCCCTGTGCTCTTCACAAACCCCCTCCAGACGCGCGACCTTCCATCCCTTCCGCCAAGAGGTAAGGTCGTCTCTGTGTTTTGTGCACCCTCGCGCCGAGTCTTTCGAGTGTGACTGGGAATCTCTCTCGCCAAGTTCGCGTCTTCACGCGAAATGTGTCGGCTCGCTCGCACCGAGGGAGTCGTCCTGAAAACGCTCACGGCGAAAAAAGTCGAGCAGGATGAGCGGCCCTCGAGGCTGAAATCCTTCCTCTCGCCGAGTGTAACGTAAGAACACCCCCCGCGAAACGCGGGCGTGACAGCGTAACTTGGAGGGAGATCTCTCTCAGCGAGACGTGCACGTTGTGTGCTTGCAGTTTTGCGCTCAGTTATCTCATTCCGCACTGCTGTCACTGTACACCTGTGTACACCTCGTGCGACGTATCTTTCTGTTCCACGCTCGCCGTAGAATTATCATCTTGTTTGTGTGAGCATTTTTTGCAACACCTACGGGTATTAATAGTCGCATGCATTTTTGTAACCACGCACAAGGTGCGGCGGTTTTGTTGCTTGGCACGTTACACGGGTGTCCTGTGCTCGTACGAGTTCTCTGCTCACAGGAAGCATGACTTAGACGCGGTATGCGACACCCAGAGAACGTTGGAACGTCGTAACAGACTTTGAGATGATAAGACGTCTCAAGGACGTCTCTGAGATATCTTTTAGACATGTGTATTGTAACACACACATATACAGAGAGAGAGAGAGAGAGAGATCTGTCACACGGCCGCTAACAGTGATGTATCTGATTTGCAGATTAGACCCACGCTTCGACAATGTACGTCAGAAAAGCTAAATAGAAAAAGAGGAAGGGAAAGGTATACAGGAAAAGTGGGGAAGATGCCCGGCTCCTATACGGGAGTAGTAATTCTCCTCTTGTTAGGGGCTTCTATGCTAGTATCCGGCACTGCGGATGCTGCTAAGTCTCTCAGAGCGGCCAAGGCTAGGCTGAAATCGTCTGAAGCATCGTGGCGGATAGTGGTATGTTTAACTCAGCCTCAGACTCCTTTGAAGCCAGACGTACAGAGAGCATGGGAGCAAGCGAGACTGGAATCATTTCACGCGGACATGGAAGTGTCGTATATAGAAGCAAGGATGACACCCATGACGGATTCCTTGTCATATCCCTTATCATTGTTAAACAAATTTTGTACAGACATCGAAGGCGGAAAGACAGTATTAAGCCTTATTATAGGGGGAGGTTCGGCAGCTAGATTTCTCGTCACGGCTGCCGCCGCCTTGAATCTACCAGCTCTGTGGTTGCCATTTACACACAGAGACTTTCTCCGGCAGGTTCGTGCCCGCTCGCGTGCGATTCTCGTCGGCAAATCCCGCCGACGGGCCCGACGATTAACCTCCTTGACGTGTGTTAATCGTTACAGGGAAACCTCGGTCGGTTTGAGAACCGCATAGGCTCCAGCTCGAAGGAGGTCGGAGCCGCGGCTGCCGCTCTAATGCATCGGGCTAACTGGCACGCGTTCACCCTCCTCATCGACACCACACTCTTACCCGTGACCCACCTCCTGCAGACGAATCAGCCGACGCTGACGCCTCGCGCGATTATACACCTACCAACGAACGACAGGACACTGAGGTTGCGACTGAGGCGGGTGGCCGAGGAGGGTGGCACCGGCGGAGTCGTGGTGATGGCCTGCGACCTGAGCAACGCGCGGAAGATCCTCGGCGCGGCCGGCAAGTTCGAGATGCTCACCGGTAGATTCCTGTGGCTCTGGCTGGACCTGAAGGCCGAGCTGCGGCCCAATGAGCCCAACATCATCAGCTCGCACGTCCTCCACAGCCCGAGAGTCGCGGTCGCGGCGACGAACGACAAGACGCCGCTCGAGCGGATGACGAATCTCGCGACGTCGAACGAACGGGGACTCTCGCTCAATCCGTTGCCGAATCTGGCCAATGACATACATCGACTGCAGGAGTACAGGTGGAGGGACGAGAAGAAGACGGTGAGCAAGCGGGAGGACAGGAGCTTTAATTTCGACGAAGACGACGACATCAGGCTCACCAGCGACAAAGAGCTCAACTCCAAGAGCTTCATGCCGGTCGGCATGCTCGCGCTCAGACCGTCCGGCATCAAGATCATGAGCGGCGACACCATACTGTCCAGGATACTGCGCGGAATGTCACAGGCGTTGGACGAGACCTTCCTGGAGACGAAGGCGAGGGTCGCCCGTCTGCGAGAGCCCCAGCTCAAGGAGCACTTTACATCGGAATGCTTCCCGGAACGTAACGCCAAGTTCTTGACGAGCGACGTCCGGCAAAACGTGTCTATGACGTTGACCAGGAAGTTGAGGAAATCCATGGGACAGATCTCCAAGGACAAGGCGGAGTTCCAGCTGCTGAACCTGCAAGCCATTCGATTTCCTGGGAATAAGACTCAATTAAGGTTCAGCTCGAGCTCATAAATGTATTAATGTTATAATAATTATTATTATCACATATTCTTCATACATGTATTAATATTATGTCAAAGAGTCATTCGGAAGAGAAAGATCTCAGGCGGCAGAATGTCCAGGATCGGAACATAAGACGCTGTAAAAATGTCTAAACTCGGCTCTTGTCTTCAATCTTGCTTCAAGACGTAAGCAATGAGCAAACCGACCAATCACAGTCTTTTATTAGAAGAATAATCAACCGTGATTGGTCAATTACTTGCAGCTCACGTCTTAGACATCTTATGTCCCGATTTTGGACATTGTGCTGTCTCGTATAGGCAAGTAAGAGCTAGACGCTGGTGTTGGCCCGGAACAAAAATTTTAATACGAATCTTTACACATTTTCTCACGACAATGGTCGTATTTTCATTGTATTTTAACGGATACATACTTCTTTATATCCATACTTACACAGTCAGTCACAGGACGATTGCAACAGTTTTTTTTTACATGTTTCGGAATGCTTAAAAAAATACGACGAAGCGAACCTATGTTTTACGAACATGCGTAGTAGATAATCGGACAACTATCAAAATGATATATCATGTAATACATATAATTTTGACATATACGTATCTAATTTTGACAATTGTCCGACCATTGCGTATGTTCATGAATCATAGATTCGCTTCGTCGTATTTTTTGTATGTTCTGAAGTATGTAAACTGTTGCAACCGTCCTGTGACCGACTACACATTTGGGTCGTCCTTAAAGTCAGCTGCTCAGCTGTTGCCCCATCCTTTAGTCGCTTCTGTATCACAGAACATCTTTTTCCTTTCTCCATATCACTCTGCGCCTAACAAATTGTAATTTATTATTTATTTTATTAATAACATTCCTTTTCTTATACATAATAATATATTATTATTATTACTGATTATATTATTATTATTATTATTACATATATAAAAGACTAACGTTTCGGTCCCGATCATTTAGGGGTTCGTTTCACCGCAATTGGCAATGTTTAAAAGCAAAACTTCGCTGTCACACGACGCTCACTGACCGCAAATATTTGGCTCTTGGTTGTCTTCCTCTCCTGATTGTATATCTTGAGAGCCGTAGTACGTTGCAATCAAAGTCACTCGGTTCTTGGAAAAGCCGGCTGTTTGATATCGTCGTCGTTTCACAGGTGGACCAAAGTCGGCACCATCAAAGGCGGCAGAGAGGTGCGGCTGGACACGATAATCTGGCCGGGCGGCGGCATCATGCCGGCGTATCTCGAGCAGGGCGGCGAGAAGATCGGTATGCCGGTGTATCGCATAGTGACCGCGATGGCGTCGCCGTTCACTATGGTGACGAAGCTGCAGGAGGGCTTCTGCCTGCGCGGTCTGACCTGTCGCCAAGGTAACGACATGGTGTGCTGCTACGGCCTCAGCATGGACCTGTTGACGTTGGTGGCGCGCGAGCTCGGCTTCCGCTTCAACCTCTACCTGGCCGAAGACGGCCTGTTCGGCAAGCGAAACGGCAGGAGCGGCACGTGGAACGGCGTGATGGGCGAGCTGGTGTCCGGCCGAGCGCAGCTGGCCTTCGCGCCGATGAGCGTTTCCGCGCACCGGGCCGAGGTGGTCGACTTCACCACGCCGTACTACTTCAGCGGCGTGAGCTTCCTCACGGCGCCGAAGCTGCGCTCCGAGATACCGCTGTTCGCCTTCCTCTTCCCGTTCAGCACGGAACTGTGGATCGCCGTGTTCACGTCCTTGAACTTCACCGCGATCGCGGTCGCGCTCTACGAGTGGTTCAGCCCGTTCGGCCTGAATCCCTGGGGCAGGCAGCGCAGCAAGAACTTCTCCATAGCGTCCGCCCTGTGGGTGATGTGGGGCCTGCTGTGCGGCCACCTCGTCGCCTTCAAAGCCCCCAAATCCTGGCCTAACAAGTTCCTCATCAATATCTGGGGCGGCTTCTCCGTCATCTTCGTGGCCTCGTACACCGCCAACATAGCCGCCCTCATCGCCGGTCTCTTTTTTCACTCAGCAGTGAGCAATTATCATGACAAAAGCGTAAGTATCTCCTCTGTCCCGCTTGATGTTACTATAAGTTGTTTTCCTTGGAATTATTAACGGAATCGTGAATAATTAATTAATTCTTTGGAATTGCTAATTAATTATCCAGGGTTTACCAAAAGTGTGGAAACACTTTGCTTGCAATTCCCTTATTAATGTACTCTCAATTGTATTCTCTTCTCCGCTACTCGTTTTTTTGTCTGTCCTGAATTTGCATTCAGGATTATATCATGTTACTAAACTTTTAAGCTTGTGTTGCTTCTAATAATATAAAGTACTTTTCCTGCAATCCCTGCTCGTAAACGTTAAAGTTTAAGACTACATATTGCTCGTGGAAAATTCCCCACTGTCGTCTGGAAAACATGGAAAAGTCAAAGAATTTCAAAATTCATTTTCCGCGGCAATCCTGTTAAGAAACATTTCCTCTATATCTCTTTCTATTATCCGTGTATCTCCCTAGTAGGTCAACTGATGCATAAATTAAATATGGCATTAATAAGAAAAGCAAAAAATATTTTCATATTCATAATATTGTTTACCTTGACTTCGTTTTAAATTAACATTTATTATTTAGATTAGCGAAATAAATGCACAGTAATTTTGCTTGATATCAAATATAGTGGGAGCGGCTCCCTTGGTACGTCGCTGAAAATACGATTGAACTTTACAATCTCAGGTCACAAAGGAAAATATTTCTCTGTATTCAGATTGATATTTCCGGCTTTCAGAAATTAAATTTTCATTCTTTGTATCTTTTAAGAGACTACACTGAAGAATGCGTTATGTTGCAGCTGCTGGCGCAGAGGGTCGGCGCGCCGAGGGCGTCCGCGGCCGAGTACTACGTGCAGAGAGCGAATCCACAGTTGTGGTCCCACATGTCTCGGTATTCCCTATCGGACGTCGCCGAGGGCGTAGAAAGGTTGAGAAACGGCAGCCTGGACATCCTGATCGCCGACACACCAATTTTAGACTATTATCGAGGGACCGACGAAGGCTGCCGCTTGCAGAAGATCGGCGACACCATCAACGAAGACACTTACGCGATCGCGCTCACCAAGGGGCATCCCCTCAAGGAGAGCATATCTAAAGTTATAGCGAACTACACGAGCAACGGCTTGCTCGATATTCTGCAGGAGAAATGGTGAGTCGCAAACAGGCGCAGAAATTGGATAATCGATATTATCGGTTCACGTGCGAACTTTCTTTTTATTCGCGCGGCTACGGGAGCGTAATAATTACTTTAGACTGAAATATATTAAGTGGTAAATAAAGTATGTCTAGAATGCACCGAACCGGCTGGAACAATGTGAGCATCAAAAATAGGAACACCTGTGTTTACCGCGTTTTATGGCTCTCTGTCGGATACGTATTGATTTTATATATTTTTTACGCGTGCATCACGTACGCCGGACGCGCGTCGCTCGGTAACGCAACTGTCGGCGATGCGTGAGCGCGATGTCGCGTTAAAAGCTGGATCAACAATGCGGTCGCCGCAGTCTCGTTCGAGTCGGTCCAATTCCAGCGACTCGATTCGATCGTGGTCGCTCGGACGAGATTGCGACCACACGACAGTGACGTCGCTTATCGTAGAGAACCTCTTAAAGGCCCTTAAAGTCAATTTGCGCGAAAGCACTTCGCGCCTAAAACGAGGCAACTTTGCAGGTACGGCGGTCTACCCTGCATCGGCGGCCGACAAGGCATAGACCCGATGCTGGATCCTGAGCCGGGCGGCCAACCCAGACCGCTGGGAATAGCGTCTGTGGCCGGGGTGTTCTGCCTGCTTCTGATGGGCCTGGTGCTCGGCATCATCATATTAGCGGGCGAGCACTTGTTCTACAAGTATACGCTTCCGCGACTGCGGCACAGGCCGGAGGACTCGATCTGGCGCAGTCGTAACGTCATGTTCTTCTCGCAAAAATTGTACAGATTCATCAATTGCGTGGAGCTGGTCTCGCCGCATCATGCCGCCCGCGAACTGGTGCACACGGTGCGGCAGGGCCAGATCGCGTCACTTTTCCAGAAGAGCGTCAAACGAGTACGTGTCTTGTACTCCCTGAGTACGGTCAGTCACGAAAAGGTCGCGACACTTTTTCTTCATAAGCTCCGGAACGCATCCTGTGTCCAATGGGAGAATTTTTTTTTAAGGGTTCATTTTTTCAAGTAATTCTCTGGAGATTTTCCTATTGGACACGAGATACGTTGTGAAACTCGTTGAACAAAAAGTGTTGCTACCCTTTTGTGACCGACCGTACGCATAGATAGTCCGCAAGTTCGTGAGCACGAATCTTGGCAATGAAGAAAGAGGTCTGCCGTTCTGTGTTTGTCCTGAGATAAGTAAGTAGTAAGTAGCGAAGCTTAGAGAACCGAGAACCGATTTTCCGAATTCGGTGTCTGTCTAACGGAAGACTTATGTTCACGAACTTGGGCGGTACGCCTCATTTGTGGTTTCTAAATATCTACCACGTTTCCATGTTCCAGAAGGAACACGAACAACGCCGCAGACGTAAAAGTAAGGCGCAATTCTTCGAGATGATCCAGGAGATCCGGAGGTGAGGGAAGATCAATTCACTCTACAAGTTCAATATATACATTATATGGCAAATCAGACTGTTAATTATTCTATTAAATAACTTGCACTTTTGGCACTTCCATCACCTGCATTCTTTTTCCTATGCGTTTTAAACCGTCCGAAAAGTAAATTTCTAAACAGGAGAAAATGTTCCTATCTAACCTAGTATTGTACAATTAATGATCCTCTGGTTACTTCGACGGTTAGAAAGAGAGAAAATCGTCCGTAATCAATGAGACCACCTGTACCTTCCAGAGTTCAACAAGAAGAGAAGATTGAGACGGCGCCGGAAGAGTCCGACGCTGCGAAGACGCTGAAGAAGGACGAGAAGCTGGGGAAAGGCCGGGAGAGGAGTCGCAGCAAGAGCCCGTTGATGCCGCGCAGCCCCAAGCGCTCGGAGAAGAGCCGGAGCTCCACGAACCTGTCGGCGTCGCGTCTCGGGCTGTCACCGGTGAGTCTGGACGCGCCGATGAAGCCACGCGAGTTCACGCTGAGCAGCACGAATCTGCGCGCGAGGAGCCCGCTGGAGACGGTCGGCCGCAGGCTGAGCCACGGGGACGGCGGCTCGCCGCCGCCGCGTCTCGGTTCCCACTTCGGCGGCAGTGCCACGTTGCGCCCGTTGGCGCCCACTCGAAGCGACTCGACCGGTGGTACTCCCGTCGTCGCGAAGGGCGACTCTTCAGTGAGCGGCGCGCCCACGCCGAGATACTCCCGCAGCCCGGCCAAGCGAGGCCAGTCCTTCCCGGTGTTCGCCACCCTGAGGCCGCCGCATTCGGCCAGCTACCAGGCGTCGAAGAGCCCGCTGTTGTCGCCGAACAGCGAGCTCACATCCGCCATTGGTAGGAAGCTGTCTCGCGAGTGGGGCTCCGGCACCATAGACCTCACCAGGTCGTCCGAGGCCATAGGCAGCAACGGTGGCGGCGGCGGCGGTGGCGGCGGCGGTGGCGCTGGTGGTTCGACGTACACGTTGAATCAGGAGATGACGCTCTCGCTGGGCCGTTCCGAGCAGGACAGCTCGCAGCAGGAGATAGCGTTGCCGATGAAGAAGCCCATACGACGCGCCAGAAGCCACGAGAATCGCGAGAGCGGCAAGCTGATGGCGGACCTGCCGTCGCCGAGATTGACCCAGCCGGTAGTGGGCGGCCGTTCGGTGAGCGAGCGTACCAAGAAGCAGCTGGAGTCCGAGCTGAAGGCGATTCTAAGTGCCAGGGCCCACCATCGCGACCTGCATCCCCCTTGATAGGAAGAGCCCTCCTCGCGCTGAGAGAGTTCTTGATAGCGACGGCGGCTTGAGGGGAGGAGGATCGCTCTCGAAGCCTCTGAGGGGCTTTCATTGATTTAAGCAATATCAGATTTATAGGTCAATTTGTAGAGGAAAATCCGACACACTTATCAAGAGAAATTACGAACTGGTTCTCGCGCGCGCGCGAGGCCGCGAGGAAGAGAGAGAGAGAGAGAGACACATACACACACATACGATCACTTCGAACACGAGGGAAAGTTTTGTGCGTGAGGAGGGACAGGGCGGTAAGAAACGGGCTGGGACTGGAAACGGGGGAAAGATCTCTTTGATTGTTCATACGTTGTTACGTACATTAATAATCTAGGATACGTTGATAAACAAAAGTGCGCTATAAACTTTAGTAGAGATGTCTTAAATAGGTAGCGAGGTACACGAATACTAAGATATTTTCTTGTTGGCATTTTAACTCTACATTAACCGGCAGCCTGGGTGAGTCTCTCTCGATTGCTATGGTATACCAGACATTGTAACGCTGCAGCGTTTCTCAACTCGGAACTTTCGGCGATCCACGGACACGCACACGTAGCTCCGTCGAGTTTCCGTCGCGTTAGTACGCGACGACACGAGAGATTTCCTCCAGACGAAACTATTGACTTTTGAACTTTAAAAAGCGACACGCACTACAGCATCCATTAGACATTGTCCCTCTGGGAGTGTAAATATGTCAAAACAGATCGTATATATAACATACGAACATTGTAAATATGGTAGAACGTTTCTCGGACAAGACGATGACAAACGATAAACTGTCGGCTGTCGGTTATTTTATCAAGCGGCGCGATAATGCCGCGAGACAAGTCAAGTACATAAATTTATCTATATTACGAGAGACTGTCTCACGGGAAAGTTGAGAAACGCTGGTTTACCGAACTTCGTCGAATTGGACTGCATACTGCCACTTTAATAATTCCTGTGACTGCGAAAGGAGAGAGACTCGCTCGATGGACTCTCGGCGTAGAATGACCACTTTAACTGCGAAGACGCATAATCTTACAATTATCGCGCGCCTGTCGAAACGAGGCTGGGGGGGAATTAGGAGCGGATGAAATTTCAATCGAGTCTGAAACGGTATACTCGTGAAGAAACGAAAAAGAGAGGAGATGACAAACGGGTTACACTCGAGACACCGGCAAGTCAGGTCCGGCAAGTGCGTGAGAGAGAAAGAGATTTCGCAGCCGTACCGCGGACCCTCCGCGACTCACCATTATTTCCTAACGAAGCAGTGCCAAAGGATCGGTATCACGCGACAACTTAGTCGATCGATGATAGTTTGCTTTCCGTTTACGTGAGATTTAATGTAACATACGTACTCTTAGCGAGGCGGGAACCCGAGATTATCGACGTTTAACGCGATAATCCCGACCGTGTTCGTTCGCCGCGACTTCGCGAGGCACGACTTCCGACGGTTTTACTAGACTGATAGATGAGAAAAAAACTTTCATTCAGGAATTGTAAATGAAACATTATCGGAATTGAATAATTGTTATTTACTGATCGATGTGCATGTCCCATCTTCGTCTACGAGATCTTTCGATTCACTTTCGATGAGAGAGAGAGAGGAGGGCGAATTCGTCTAGTCTCGTTAATTATTACTTAACTTAGATAGTAGCGTGGATGTGTGGGACTAAACTGACTAATTACTTTAAAGGGAATTAAAAGAGGAAGAGAGAAAGAGAGAAAGAGAGAGAGAGAGAGAGAGAGAGAAAAGAAGAGAAGAAGCAGAGAAGTGAGAAAAGGGAAATTCATGAGCGAGGCCTTAGGAGTAGTCGTATCCGCCCAAAATACTTTACTCTATAGTACTACTGTACTCGAATATTTCACTACATTATATTACACTAGAAGATAGACATTTAGTTTTCGTAGTTCTCTCGGTAGAAAGAAAGAAAGAAAGGAAAAAAAACGCTACTGTATTCGGAAAAAAAAAAAAAACTTAACGACTAAGTCCCTCGTCGAGTCCTTATTAGCGGGTAGTGATCTCCGTGTGTGAGTGTATGCGCGACTATCACCGAATGCAGCGAGTGATGACAATGCTGCTAACTGCGGGCGAACAGCGGCAGCAACAGCAGCGTAGGGTCGTAGACTACACTTCCACATTCGGTAATTAGAGAGTGTCACTGTCTTTGTTAGTAGTCGTGGTCGATAGTCTTGTGAGAGAGAGAGAGAGAGAGAGAGAAAGAGAGAGAGAGAGAGAGAGAGAGAGATATCTCGGTTGCACGCGCGTGCAACGTCGTCAACGTGACGTGAACGCGCGCCGGCGAACCGCTGTTTCGATGAAAGTGTCTCCTGAATGATTGCGCTAAAAAAAAAACGTTAATTTCGCGCGTTCAGCAAAACTCCGCGCGCCGTCGTTTCGTTACTTTCTTCCTTTCTTCCTCCTTTCTTCCTTTCCTTCCTTCTTTCTTGCGCAAGCTAAATTTCCGGTCGATCGCGACTTCGCACTCCTCGTCTTCTCGCTTACGTTCCGCTCGCGCGACTTTCGTAAACTTGTTCGCTAACTTGAAGCTCCTTCTCCGCGCGTTTTTCCCCTTCTCCTTTCCTCTGTCGGTCCTCTTCTCGCGCGCGCACGTCACTTTCTTTCCCTTCGATCGCGCTCTATTCGATCTCGTTATTCGGACGGCTAAATTATTATTATTATTAGCGTCGCGTCGAGCTCCGAGGAGATTCGCGCGATTATTCGGAGCTTGCATTTCTTGCTGCTGAGAGAAAACGGCGCGCGCTACAGCGAACTGTAGTGTGTTCCGTGCCGCCGCGATTAATTCAGGAAGTGATCAAAATATACAAAACATAGGGGGCCAGTCTAGAGTCACCCGCGCCTAAAGAGAAATCAAAGATAGACTTATTAAATTATAATTTTAGCTGTAATTCTCTTTGTAAACGTGTGGGTTCTGCCGGTAATTTGGTTCAGTAGGGCTCTGCTCTCCGTTTCCTTTTCGCGCGTTTCCGTTCCCGTGAAGCGTCTCGGGGGAGGGAAGGTCCCGGCGTCCCTCCTGTGCGCTCACCCCTGTACATACGTGTCTTCTACTAGATACCTGAAAGGAACACTATTGCACTGAATTAAAGGTCGAGCCCCCTACTTCTTTGTGCGCCAACAAGAGCCTGTTAGTCACCGTCACGTGCGCATGGAAAGATAAGAGCGAGGATGCGCTTAGTCGCCCCCGTTCGTCGTCGTTTCCGAGCGAGGATCTCACCCTTCCTTTCTAACGCGCGAAATCTCCGGGACACGCTCGCAAACAAACACGTTTCCACACCGGTCTCACTGCGGATGGATGAATGAATCTGCGATCCCGTGTACCGTTGCAACGCGATAATGATGAGCGAGCGACGCGAGCGGTGGATGCTGGAGGCTCGCAGGCAGCCTTGAGAGCGCGACCACGACGTGTTTTCACGATTACTCCGGAAGAATGTCGGAGACACTTGATGTTGTGATGAGACACAAAATATATATATATATATACACACACTCGCGCGTATACACATATATACATATATCAGGATTTCACTCTTTCACCGTTTGATAATTTTTATCGAATATTCTCTGAGGCGCATCTTAAGGTGCTTATCATTATCTCATTGCAAAGTGCACGGTGTTAATATTGTATCAAGTATCTGGAGTTACCGGCCTATGCACGATACACGAGCGAGCGATTTCATTCGTCATACGTGTCACGCGTCTCTCGTTCCGTCAAAGAGAGAGAGAGAGAAAGAGAGAAAGAGAGAGAGAGAGAGAGAGGAGCTCGAATCTCCGATGCGCAATGCTCTCGGTCGCGTGGCGCGGTGCAGTCGCTCTTCTCTTTCCACAAACTGAGACAGCATCGCGCATTGTACTGGACAATGCAAGGGGAAAACAAGTACAATCCGCATGTACTGCGCGCAGCGCAAGATCGCACGAGCAGGCTCGTCCCTCGATGAGAGGAAACTTCTCGCGGGAAAACAAGCAGCGAGCGGATACACTTCGATCATTACGCAGTCAGAATCCGTTGTCTCAAGAAACGTGCTTAACGACGAATTGAATTATCGGATTTTCATCACACAAACACACACACACACACACGCATGGTTTACCACGTGAACGCCTCATTGTCACCATTGTCGCGTTGATTCACGGCGTCATATATTAATTCACTCACTCAACGGGCAATAAGATTATTCTACAAAGCACTGCCATAATTTGAACTGTTGTTACGTTGATTTTAAAATCCTGCCAAGTAATACCACTATTTAATATTATCTAACGAACGGGTCCTATCCTATGCTAAGTGATGAATTAACGTAGGCAAAAGTCCCGTGTGCTGCTGTCAAAGTGTTCCTTTACGCTTTATCGTCCGAGTTTGTATCGCGTCAGAATAATCGTTACATCTTTCCGACCCCTTCACTGCCACACCATTTTTCTCGATCGGTCTTGAAACGCCAAAAACGAAAAGGTCCTCGAAAATCAATGTCATTTACGCAAGGGTTTTTGATGATACTGACGACGGATTTCAAGTCAAATTATAAAATTTTCTTGTCATAAACTCAAAAAAGGATAGCTAATATGGCGAATTTTAATTGAAATTTGATGTTAGTTTGCAATGAATACAGAAGTCTTTTGAACTATCTAAATGTTATATTTAATTAATCGTAAAACTTGAATATACTAAAATATCTCGTAACGAGAATACCCGAAAATTCGACAAATTCTCTTTTTTCTGAAGCAACATTTTGCAAATACGACTTTAAAATCACATTCAGCACACTCAAAAACCCTTAAATATATCGTGTTTCAATTCCCTTCCTTATATTCTTTTCTTGAGGCAATATTTTGCAAATCAGATTCAAAAATCGTGCACAGCACACTTTAGTTACACTTTGCTTCAATGAATAAAATTACTTAGGGACTGATCACTTCGGCACTGGTATAACAAAATATTTCACGACAAGAAAATGCATTTCCGCGATAACGAAGACAAACTCCAAAATTATAAGAATTCTCGTCATCGGCAGTCAAGGGGTTAAATAACTCTTGATCATTTCTTTCTACGTGTAACATATTGTTATATATTTGGTCATTTCCTTCGATATATCTTCTAATTATTACATACTAATTTAAGTTACCTTTTCTTTATTACTTCGAATCATTGTTAGCAATTATTTCAAGCGCTTTCAGTCCTGGTTAACATGTTCGCGTGTTGTGATCGTACAGCAACAGGTTTCGGAAAATCCTCGAGAGATATTGCCACATGATCGGACATCGTCATTACGTATCGCATTGTAGACTTTCATTTCAGCATGCGACCTTTTGATTTGTCACTTGGTAAGGACCGGCTATAATATAATGTAACGCATTAGACTTTATGGAATAATTAATCGTAAGATTAATATAGCATGGCTCTTCCGTTCGTATAATTATTAAGTGAGTTACCGTGGCGCGTACCCTTGTTCTCACACCGCATACTTGGATACGCAAACCGCGTACGAAGCGACAGTTTAATCCTCGAACGGTCGCGCTGGCGCACATAATGCGCCGTCCGATAGATACTTCAGACTACCTTCCCGCCTTTTCTCCTCTCTCTCTCTCTCTCTCTCTCTCACTCCCCCCCTCTCTCTCTCTCTCTCTAGATATCCTTCAGAGTAATATTAATATTATAACTTTACATACACGCAAATCGGCATCGAAATAACGAAAAGGAAAAACGGGAGAACTCCAGTTGCACCATTTCGAAAAAATGCCAAGATGTTCATTTTAAAATGCAAGCAAAGTCGTATTCTTCTACATGATACTTATTATATTATTGCGAACTGCACAAGGCGATTTGCAATGGTACAATAATAACTACGGTATTTTGAGATGAACAACCTATGAGCAAGTGGCGCACGCAGTGCGCCAACGCGCGTACGATTGAATTTTATCCCGCAACGGCTGCTCGCCGAGCCGCAGACTGTCGATCCCGTTCGAGAATTAAACATTTCGCACGTAGTTTACGCATAATCGCCCGACATGCGCCAATTTATCGTGACGATAGTGATCGCTCGGCGTCGTAGCGTAGAGGAATCACGCATACACACACGGAAAAAAAGGGGGAAAAAAAATGAAATAGACGCCACGAGGATCCTTTCCAACCGCGGTGACTTGTTGGCGTACGACATTAGGTTAGGTTCCTCGTAACCTACCTCGTCTCTCTTGTTACGCCTACTGCTACACTGTTATTGTTGATGAAAACTCCATATTAATAAGAAATAAATATATTATCTCAAAAGAGCGGAATTCTCTGCCATCCTCTTTTCTCTGAAGGTAATGACCAGATTGTAGCGAAGCTCTCCTGCAAAGCGAGTTGCACACTTTGAGAAAATATCATCAGTTTGTATCGATCAAATCAAGTTACATTAACAAGCGGTCTTAAAGCACGGACAAATGAAAACTAAAAAAGTATAAAGTTTATTTAAATATTGATGTGCTATTTATATGAAACTTTCGTTTTTATTTGAATTCGCCAACATTTAATCGATTTAATAGTTTAGATCGAAGTATTTTATCAACAAATGTTATTGCTGCGTTACATCGTGAAAAATATCGCAGGTTATACAATGATGTCCCAAAGATATATCTCGAATTTGGATTTGTCTAGTTTTGGGCAAATATTTGGAAATTTTGTTCCGACAAAACCGTTGCGTTATTTTGACCTTTATATAATTTTTTATTTTACTTCAGACATATATATGACGTAGTGTGTACGTCAATCTCTTCGACCTCGTCTAAATTTCATTAATTCGATTTACCCGATTCGCGATCGCCTCTCTAATTTCTCCGCCACGGCTAACGCGCTGAAAATAATGCCGGCATTGTAACACTCGATTACAAGTCTGACCTTCCTCCTTGCGCGATCACTTCCGGAGCGTAGGGGGAGAGGAGAGGCCGCTGGGTTTGTTGACATCGCCATGTTGTTCGCCGGCGAATATTTAAATTTAAATCACGCGTATTCACGCGCCGCTGTTCGTACTCGCTCGCATATCGCGCGCATATATTGTGTGATAATACGCCGCGTGCGTGTGGGAGTGTTTGATAATCGAACCGGCCATCTTGGATTATAACGCGCGCGCGGAAACGGCGGGAAATTACGGCGCGATAATTCCGGCGGATGATCGCGCGCGAAGTGTGAGGTCTTTTGTAAATCAGTTAACTCATCCTCGGCGCGTGGAAGCCGGCCGACGACGCTGTGCCGAGCTCTTAACTGTGTATATATATATATATATATATCGCGCGGCCTCTTATCGCGCCATAGCGCTGTTCCGTTGGCAAAAATTATTTATGCGCATGTAAATCGCGATAATCGTTCGCGTGTTCCTCCACGCCTTTGACGTCACGACACAAGATGACTCGTGACTCTGCAAGCGATTTGAAATAGTTCAAACGTTTCGACGAGTTCGCCCCGACGAGTCTGCAAGACTCGTCGTTGCACACACGTGCCATCGCTGGGCCCCTCAACGTGCACCGAGTGTTGTGTTTCAGTTCGAGAAAGTCGCGGTGCACGACGATGGTAATATGATACGCAGGATCATCGGGGATCGCTCGAGCCCGAAGTCACGAGAAGGAAAGGATCATCGTCGTTCCGTCGCCGGTCGGCCTCGTCATTCCTCGCGGATCACCGTCTCCGTCCTCGAACCGTCCGGCCGTCAAGTGAGTTCAGACGAATTCTCACGAATTTTCCACGCGAAACAGCTGACGCGGCCGGTGGACGCGTCCTCGAGCGCGCGGCGCGTGCGAGTACGCGTTCGGTCGCGATGCGAGCATGACGCGTGAGCGGGCCGCTGCGGAATGTGCAAGTCATCCGAGTCATCTACGGTCACGATTGCCGTTTCACGATCGGACCTCTCGTCGTCGAGGGAAACGGCGCGCGACCCGAGTCCTCTCCTCTGCGCTCTACGCAGCATCCGCACGCGCTCTTCTGCTTGATCTCACCTTACCGTACATCTCCTTTATTCCACGTATAAATCTTTCATGAGAAAGAGAAAAAACTGCGTCTCGAATACCCCGAGTCATTCGGACATTGTCGTCGATGCATGACACGACATATTGATAATGACTTAAAGATAAGGGGGAGGTGGAGAGGGAGAGAGAGACAGAACGTGTATACTTGTGTATATGTTTATTATTTGATTTAATATTGCTAAAGTATGTATAAGATTGAAGACGCGAGGTACAAGTGTAAAAGAATCGAGTTCACGTCCACCGTGTTATCAAAATCTCCGCATCGCCGAACTAATCAAGTTTCGAAAGTTTCTGTTCGGATACGTAGTAAAAAAAACATTTTGTACTTGTGTTAAAATCGGGCCCTTGTTAAAATTTTCGTGTTAAATTTTTCAACATACCTGCGCGTTAATTTAACATATTGCGTGTATTATTTTAACATTTTGCATTGTATCGTTATTCAATACGTGTGAGTGTTAAATTAACACATTTTCGCGCATACTTCAATGTCGATCAGTGTATTAATTTTGTGTTAATTTTGGACATAATACTTGTGTTGCTAATTCATTCAAATAAGTTATTGACAACCGTTGTAATGTCTGGATGGAAATACAAAGGAAATATGTTATTTGACTTAAAGATATTTATATTGTTTGAGGGACAATCCTATTTGTTGAATCAAACATTCATTTCCTTGCTCTAATCCAAACGACAAATTTCTTTCAATTAAAGAGACCAAGGAAGTTTGAAATTTCGAAAAAATCAATTTTCGGTTTTTTGCATATTCCGATACTGTGATCCCTTAGAAATATCTTCCCCGTTTGTCTTTTTGAAAAATTCGTCAAACTGAAGTCAAGAGAGCGTAAAAACGTGACAGGCGGCCGATCGAACGCAGGTAGTCGCGCGGCCGAACGGTCCGGACGTTATTCGAATTCTTCGAATTCTTTTCTCCCATTTGCGCTTTGCCCCTTGAATATAACAGAAGGGATGTATCGAGAGTTCGTCGCATTGCGATCGATTTTACTATATAAATACTATAAAAATGTCTTCGTCGAAGAGCGAAAAGAAGAATCCGCCGTATGTCCGTTCGAAGCAACCGCGAGAAAAACGCTTGCGCGACAACCTTGGAAGCGTACGAAAATTACGAGAAATCGGACGATAATCCGCTGTGCCATCCGCTGCGTCGAAGAGAAAATTGAGTTCAGATCGCGATACAAGTGCGCGTAAAAATCCGAACATTGCGTATGAAACGATGAACTCTGTGACTGTTTTTAATGCGCTAAGTGAGTACCGTTCGCGTGCAAGGTTTGCGAAGGAGATGTGAAATGCAGTCGGTTTTTCTCTGTGTGTACAGCAGTCTTCAGCGCGCACCGATGAAGTGTGCAAGACGGGTTGATCAGATTTGCTGGAGTTTTGAAATCAAAACATCACCCGGAGCGATCTCTCTCCCCCAGGCCGAGTTTCTTTCGCTCCACGTTCAATTACAACATATTCGACGGTGACTGACGTGCGGAGCAGCGCGGAACAGTTTTCGCGAAATCGGAAGCGACCGGCGAGAGTCGCAGCCTCACGGACTCGATCACCCGAAAGACGTTCTCCAAGACCTCCCCGAGACTCCGCTCGGGACCTCTCGCGGGACGTTCGCGCGCTCCCCGTCGACTCTGTCCCGTTTCCCATAAATCTTCACACGCGCTTCGTTCACATTTCTTACCGAGTCACGCTCACGTTGGATCGCCAGTCGGGCGCTATCGGTGCGCGCGGACAAAGGTGCACGTGTGTCGTGCGTAATCTACGGTAAATCGTGACGAAGCGATCTCGCTCGCTCGCTCACAGCGGCGGCCGTTGCGAGAAAGTCCCGCCCGTCGTTCGGACTGTGCGCGGCTGCTGCTCGCGCGCTGATCGTCGTTCGCCCGAGAACACGTGCGTATGTAAATCGTCTATCCATTCGCACGCACGCACATACATCAGTACGCGTCCCGCCTGTGCCTCCTGCCTGACTGAAGGCGCGCGCGCGTGCGACGACGCCAGCGTCCGGTGACGCCGCATCTATCGCGATCGCCGCAGCCGTCGCTGCCGAGGTGAAGGAGAGATGCCTGCGTCATCGGCGTGTATCTACCGTGAGATCGATCGCAACGACGAAACATGATCACGCCGTCGGCTCCTCGCTCCTCTGCCGTCTTCTCGTCGCGTGTCCAGTGATTTCTCAGCGCTAGATTGCCCGCGATCTGGCGAGCCGGGTAAGTGTCATGCGCGCGGCACGAGAGAGAGAGAGAGAGAGACGGATGACTTCTGCTCCACCGAGCACGACGACGAAGGAGTAGAAGAAGACGACGATGACAACGAGGTCGCGATTCTCACTGTTGGAAAAACCTCGTGGTCACGTGCGACGCGATCAGTGATACAACGCGTAACGCTGCGTCGCACGATTACGATGCCGTTATTGCGCGGCGCAACGCGCTACTGTGTCGCGCGCGCGCGACATGCTCGGCCACGGTAGATAGTTACATGTCATAACGCTGTGTTAGGCTCTCGGGGGTCTTTCCCGGAACGTTCCGTCCGCTGTGTGTTGTTCGCTCGGCTCAGTAGTTGGCGTGCGAATGTGCCTTGAGAGAGACGGGGGTAGAGATAGGTAGATTACAATCTGATGTGTGTGTGTGTGTGTGTGTGTGTGTTGTTTGTGACACAATGAACGGTGTGCGTGTGTAAATACGTGTCTCCGTTGTTGGCTTTTGCAGCTCTCATTTTAATGGATGGAGAGAAAGATTGCCGGCGGCAGAAAGGGGCTCAGGGCAGCTCCCACCAGGCTCACAGCAATGCGTCAAATTCGCTGTCCGTATCAGGGGAAGAAGCGGATTGGGAGGACGCGCTCAGCACGGAGAAGCACGGCGACCTCGGCGACATGACGTTCTGCATGGCCAACTATGTGAAGGAAGCCATGAAGATGATGTTCATGATGCGCACTCATCATATGCTGACTGATGTGATACTTGAAGTTGGTACCGAATTGTTCCACGCGCATAAAGTTATTTTAGCAGCTGCTAGTCCCTACTTTAAGGTGAGTTCAGGTTGAGACCATCTCGGTGAGTTGTATCAGCATGTTAAGCTGTTTTCTTTGGTTCGTTCGCAAAAGTAGATTCATGTCTCTGTGAGAATCAGGCGAGAGAGGGAGGCGACACTGAACGTTTCTCAAATTTCCAGGCGATGTTTACCGGAGGATTGAAGGAGTGCGAGATGACAAGAGTGAAGCTCCAAGGAGTCTGCCCAACCGCAATGGCTCGCTTGATGTACTTCATGTATACTGGAGAAATAAGAGTTACTGAGATTACCGTGTGTTCGCTGCTCTCAGCAGCCACCATGTTCCAAGTACGTTAAAGAATGATCAAGAATATCAAGGAATGTTAATGTTACTGGAAGAAAGGAATGTTGCCGAGTCACTATTTCAATAGACGTCGTGCTGTCATTTTCGACTACCCGAGTACGCAGGTCCTTCGGTAACTGAGCGTACGTCGAATTTCAAACATTACTGAAGATTTCTCGAACGATAACAGTTAATAATAACGTCTGAAATTATCCGTATACTCGCTTACCGAAAGCCTCAAGTAGCCGGGTAGTCCGGAATTGACCGGCACCAGTAGATACTGTACAGTCGAATGTGCGTAATATCAGAATACTTGCGTGATGACACAGGTTACCAATGTGATAGACGCGTGCTGCGTGTTCCTGGAGAGACAGCTGGACCCGACGAACGCGATCGGCATCGCGAACTTCGCCGAGCAGCATAGCTGCCAGGATCTGTACCACAAGGCGAACCAGTTCATCGTCCAGCACTTCAACCAGATATGCCAGGAGGAGGAGTTCCTGCAACTCTCGGCCATCCAGCTGGTGTCGCTCGTCAGGAAGGACGAGCTGAACGTGCAGGAGGAGCGGGAGGTGTACAACGCCGTGCTAAAGTGGGTCAAGTACAACGAGGAGGCGAGGCGGCCGAAGATGGAGCATATACTGCACGCGGTGCGCTGCCAGTACCTCACGCCGAACTTCCTGCGGGAGCAGATGAAGAACTGCGACGTGCTGAAGAAAGTACCGGCCTGCCGCGAGTATCTCGCGCAGATCTTCAAGGATCTGACGCTGCACAAGAAGCCGGTGGTGAAGGAGCGCACGCCCAACACGCCCCGGGTCATCTACATCGCCGGCGGTTTCCTCAAGCACTCGCTCGACGTGCTGGAAGGCTACAACGCCGACGACAAGTCTTGGACGCAGCACGCGAAGCTGATCGTGCCGAGGTCCGGCCTGGGCGGCGCCTTCCTCAAGGGCATGTTCTACGCGGTCGGTGGCAGGAACAATTCACCGGGAAGCAGGTGAGCACATTCCGTCCGAGTTGCCGATCGATCGCTTGTCATTCCACAGTGACGATACGAAGGTCCATTGCGAACGTCGAATTCTCAAGACGTTCGCGTGATGTTTTCAGGTACGACAGCGACTGGGTCGACAGGTACAACCCGGTGACGGACCAGTGGCGACCGTGCAGCCCGATGTCGGTGCCGAGGAACAGAGTAGGCGTCGCCGTAATGGACGGCCTGCTGTACGCCGTGGGCGGCAGCGCGGGCGCCGAATATCATAACAGCGTCGAATGCTACGACCCGGATCAGGATACGTGGACCAGCGTCAAGCCCATGCACATCAAGAGATTGGGCGTGGGAGTGGCGGTAGTGAACAGGTATGCTAGCGATCGCGCCGGTATTTCTCGAACGCTTTCGGCATATTAACTCAACTGCCGCTTCATTTAATATTCAAATTGTCTACCGGTTTCGCCGTCATTTTTTCCTCTTTTTTTTCTCTCTCCCGTCGTTGTATAACTCGAATACATTTTGCGCTTTTGATCTCACTCTTTCTTATCTGCTTTATGGGAGAAAGTAAATGTGGTAGGTTGCAACGACACGAACACACGTGAATTTTTTCTAAATGAATTCTTGTACTCTTGGGGCGGAAAATTCCACCGAAAATTGTCGGGTCTCGGAGTTCGTTTAACGCGGAGGGTTTATTCACCACGCACCATGAGCGTAGTTAAGATTTATCTTCGCAAATTTTATTATAGTTTGTTTATAATTAATTAATTAATTTAAGGATATCCGTGAATCATTGCACGCAAAACATTTACATCCTCTCAGATAATGAAAAATATTACATCGCTGCAACGAAGCCGCAATTAGATTCTCAGGGGCTCGTCCTATCTTTCCCAGTTAGATGTAAATTCGTTCAGTTGAACGTGAGAATCACTCTTGATAGATTGCTGTACGCGATCGGTGGCTTCGACGGAAAGGAGCGGCTCAGCTCGGTGGAGTGTTACCACCCCGAGAACGACGAATGGACGATGGTGTCTACTATGAAGTGCAGCCGTTCGGGCGCCGGGGTGGCTAGCTTAGGTCAATACATATACGTTATCGGCGGATACGACGGGAACTCGCAGTTGAACTCGGTGGAGAGATACGACACGGAACGCGACGTGTGGGAGTACGTGAGCAACGTCAGCATCGCCCGCAGCGCGCTCAGCGTCACCGTTCTCGATGGCAAACTATATGCGATGGGTGAGTACAGGTAGTCGCGTTCGCAATATTCCAACAGGACTTTACAATCGATGTCATGTATGTTATTATTATTTTCTAAACGGCGTGTTACACGATTCTCAGCCTTGCGCATTACGCAGGTTGAAAATCGCACAAGTAAGCCTAGTTATAACGGTAGAATTGTAATAATTCCAATTATTTATTTTGCATTTATTGCGACCTTTATGTGGCTTCCGCCTTCCGCGTATATTTTTGTCCATCGTTTTTACATTTTTTTACATCTTCACATTACATACCTTTTCTTCCCCTTTCCCTGTTTATCCTCACAACTTCCTGTTCCATCTCTGAACTTGTATGATACTTTGAATCGATCCTATTAATAAAGTAAAATATTTCGAAAAGTATTCACCTTCCGATGATCTTATCCTAGGACTTTTATATGCAGAATGAACAGAGGAATCGATTTGTATTAAAAAAAAAACTATATAATTTTATTAAAAAAAAAAATGAAGTTGATCTTGAAATGACTTTGAATTATTAACTATGCATCAAGGTTAAGATAAAAAGTTTTCGTCTACACATGATTCGGCGGATACATTGTAAAGAAAGTCTTCCTCTGTCTTCAGGTGGATACGACGGTGCGACGTTCTTGAATATAGTGGAAATTTACGACCCCGTCAAGGACCAGTGGATCCAAGGTGTTCCTATGACTTCGGGGAGGTCCGGTCACGCCAGTGCGGTGTCGTACTACCAGTGTCCCATGCATTGCGATCACTTGGACCACAACATCACGTTGGAGAGACCGCCGTCGTGATACTGGAACGGGCGGTTCTTCTTCTTGAACAACGCTCGCGAGTAAACAACGGCCGAGTCAGTCCTCCGTGTCGCTATGGAAGTGTACACAAAGTGGAGAAATAGGACCGTGACGATGACGGAAGATACGATACAGAGATCGGGACGATTTCGTGAGAGGGCGATCGACGTTTGTGCGGAGAACTCGACTGAGAATTGTATTTATATAGTGTAATGTACCGAACGGCACACGAAGTGTGTCGTCGAATCGGACCAAGTCTGAAAGTTACGAAACCGGCTGGCGAAAGACATTCTTGAGAGGGAAAACGTCAACTTCTCTCGTTTCTCTTATTTTACCGCGACGGCTCGACTTGCTGAAGGATCAAAATTCGCCTTGTCCACTAGGATAGATCAGACTGTAATACGTTTTTATAGCCTCGATCATGGACGACTCTGTAATTAATATAATTGTACATATGTCGCATGTAAGAAAGTTATTTTCAAAGAATCCCCGGAGTGTGTTAGCCTCCTGTTTTGCTCCTCACGGTTAACGCGTCGACTGTGCGCGCGACTCTGTGCCGTATGTTACAATTCACTTTTCCCGGCACGTCCTCGTTGAGAGGAATGACTCGGTGATATTTGTTATCGAAATTGTAGCCTCGGAAATTCGACGGATGTTAAAACACGCGTATTAACATACATGTCGATTCATGCACGTTAATGGCATTACTTGAACTTATCTAAATACCAAAGTTATTTACCTCGTTATCGAGTGTTACGTAAAACGATGTTTACATGTTTAAAATGGAGATTCCGAAGCGCAGATAAACGCAGATAAATTCCTATCGCTTCGAAACGATCGGTCTTTTGTAAGATATACGCGTGCACAAATCTATTCTGCAAGAGCTCGCACGCGCGATCTCCCCCCCTCCCTGCCCCCTCCTGACGGAAATTCGCAAGATGACGTCGCACACGGGATGCAAGAAGTATGTCACGTGTCCTCTGTGTAAAGGCGAAGGTAGGAACGCGCGATTGACGTCAAAATCTCTCGGGTGCGCGTCCGTGTGTGTGTTTTGTGATAAAAAGTATCTCGAAAAAAAAAAATAACATCAAAAAGGCAAGTCTACCACACGTACCGAAGAAGGAACGACCTTGTTGTCCGCTCAACATGAGGCTGCAGGTTTGGGGCAAGTTACGAAAACACCGATCGCCGAAGCAGCGCATTCCGCAGCCTCGGGAGATTTGCGTTTGTCCGCGTTATCCGATAGGTACGATGTATTAGACTTTTTAACGGGCACTAACGTATGCTCAAGGTATGCCGTTTAGCTCTGTGATACTCTCCGATGACTTACATAAGTGCAATATGAATATACAAGCTGCTGTTCATAATTTATTTATGCTTTTGTGCCAATTCAATGGCATGATTCAGCAAATATCCGAGAGACGTTAATCTTCCCGCGACTAGTCATGGGGATTACGTAGCCGTGCTGGGGGACGATTACACAGCGACGCCTGAGGAATTTGCGAATCCGCAGGAAACGCTGAAGCTAGCACTGCAAAATTTAAAGCAGGACCAGTGGCAGAGCAACGTGCCTGCTCTGATCAAGCTGATACACGTCTCAAGGATTCAACCGGAATTGCTGGACTCCAACATGCCTCGCATATACAGAACCTTGTGCAGGTCACTTCTTCAAGACTCCTGTTACCTCAACAGTACACCATTCGTGTTCATTTAAGTCTGTTTTTTTTATAGCTGAGTTAGCAATATTTTGTTTGTATCATGACTAGTATAAATACGTTAAGTTACGTTCTCACATAACAAATATTTCGTCAATACAGGAAGGTTCTGACAAAAGTTACATTATCTGTCACGTGGTTATAGTTGAGGTCAATATGGACGAAAAAGTCCAACATTTTGCAAACAACCAGGCAAAATTTCGAGTTATTAATCATTGAAAATGGCGGTGTACAGAGACTTCTTTAATCAATAACTGAAAAATTCGCATGTTTATGGTTGTTTGCAAAATGACAGAGAACTTTTTCATTCACATCGACTTAAACTACAAGTATATGACGGATAATACGACTTTTGTCGGACACTCTGTATAAAAGAAGATCATTTAATGCCGTGAAAATTCCGGCAATATTGCGGCGATATTCTGATGGCCTAACTAAATGTTGCTGTTTATTTTGCCCGAAAGAGAAATTAATCTGGAATTATTAGTAGTAACAAATAATAATCTGGGAGAATGCACTTTTAGCCTATAGAGTGAGACAAGTATATAACCGAGCGCTGAAAGGAAAAGGTTCGACGTTCCAATGCAGCATCACTTCAGCTGTGAAGAACAGATTTTTTGTTTGATGTGTCGCCGTCGGAACTTTTCCACTTGTGCTCTTTCCTTATTATTTGTTGATTGTCATTGTGCGCGCGATGAATTGTAGTTTGCTGAAGAACACAAGGCCGCACGTAGTCAGGACTGTCTGCCAGGTGGCAATGGAGTTATATAAAACGGTTCAGTGTACGCAGAGGCCCGAGTTTGACGAACTCGCGTCTGCATTACTCTTGAAGAGCACGCACACGAACAAGGGAATTCGAAGCGACGCTCAACGCGCCTTGGACTCCATGATAACCCACTTATCCCCCGCGACGTGTATTCGGATATTGGCCAGCGAGCACGGTGCTAGGTGAACAGACGGATTCTCTCAATTAATTACTCCGAATCGCAAGTGTTACACGATTCTTAACATGACCCTTCATCCGTAGCCACAAAAATCCATTGATCAGAGCGGCCGTAAGTCGATTGCTCTATAATATTATCAATATCATCGGAGTAGAGTGTTTATTGTCGAGTGCAAGTATGAAAGATACTCGCCGAAAGATCTTCACGATGTGCTCGAAATTCCTTCTTGACGGTAACAATGAAACGAGGTACCTAATCGAATTAAAGATACTATTGTAAATATACTATTTGGCTCGATGAGAGTTCGTAAGGATTTTTACGAAAAATTCCAAACCGATATCTTTATGGTCAAGCATAATTTAATATTTTTACTTTATTGTAATTAGGTTTTCTTTATGATCACTATCGAAAGGAATAGTCAATATACGTTGTTCATTAAAGTTATGCCTTGCTATAAAAATATTGGCTTGGAATTTTTCGTAAAAATCTTTATGAACTTATCGGACAACTTTGCGGGAAAAAAATTTCTCATATAATTATATATAGAATGATTAAATATGGATGAATTGCCGTCGATATCAGCGTTAACTGATAGACATCGCGGGAAGGTTGCTTGGTCGAACTTTCCCATCATATGACCCTGAAAAGAGTTGATCACATCATGCATTCTTTGTGTGATCCTAACCCGCGATGTCCATTGGGCAAAATGCTGGTCAACATTTAACCGTTCTAACTTCTGAACTGAAGATCCGAATTGGGCGTTATCGTAATGTTTCGAAAAGGTGTCAGTTATTAAAATTTGTGGAAAAAAGTGGGGATACGAGTTTTTTAAGTTCATCTTGACAGGTCATTCCAAGATCATTTCAAGGTCGCAGAACATTGCCATCTAATTTTTTGAGCACGAATTTCGTCTCAAACATTTTCTCATAAAAACAACTATTTCGGAGATAATTGGTCGTTTTCCTTGAAACTACACTATATAATTATATATAATTGTACATACTTATATACATGGAACATTTTTTTCCAGGCTAATATTTTATCCATGAAAGTTTCTTGTCATTGTACTTAACAATCGTTAAGGACTAGTTATTTCCCGATAAAAATATCTGTCTGATATATATGTCTCTACGGTACAATTTGTAAAAGTTTGGACGATACATTTCAAGATATTTTTGATAATCTAATTTATATAACGTTCTGTGAAATCCGGAAACTATACAGGAAAGATTTTCTCACTTGATAACAGCGTAGAAATGCAATGAGTCGCTAACTATATGCACATTCTGCAGGAATAACGCGAAGAAGACGCTGAAGGCGATGATGGGTCATCAGGACTTCGACACTTTATTTTACCAGGACGTGGACTGGAAGATCGTCAGCAGCATAGAGAAGCAATTAGTTTTTTTAAAGTATAGCCAAACCGTATAATACCACTATATAGTGTGTTGATATCGCACACCAGCGTAATAACGATGCTAATCATTCATTTCGTGTAATGATCTCGGCAATAAATTATATCGTGAACCCTCCTATAAAATTAATTCTACTCGACGAACGATTATTGCCAATGATTAATCGTTATCGAACGAAACGCGAATTTAGCAACACCTCAGTCACACAATCACGCTTGGCTTTCGTCCACATTTTATTCGGCGTGATTACGTAGTGATGTTTCCATCTGTTCATCGGTGTACCCTCGAGTTCCGTCTTTCCTTGTTTACGACGCGATGCTTTGAATTGCGTGCCAAAATACGGCGCTCGTCTAACCTGACCCTGCTCCAACTGCGGCCTGAAGGTCTGTTCTTTTGCGCTGAACCACCGTACACTGTGTTGAACTTAAAAAAGGACAGATATACAGTGGAGACTCGATGGGAGAAAGAGGAGAGGAGAACTGACACAAGCTGGTGTAGCCAGTTGTCAGCGAAGAAGAACAGACTCAAGGATAATACAACCTGAGCAGCCCAACCTAACTCGAGAGATCCGAGACGCAGCATCGGGAGGTGGCAACGCGAGAGAGAGAGAGAGAGAGGTTCATCGCGTTCCGCGACGGCGGATCATCATCGTCGGCGAGGCGAGCCGGGTGTCAAAATGCCGTCGGGTGTCTGGTGTCGATGCGCAGCGTCGACGTCGCGATTCGGACGCGAGGCCTGAGAAAAGCGCGACGCGATGCGATACGTTTACAAGTTGTTCCTGCTGTGCCTTATCCTGGCCGCGCTCATCATACTGCTCAATGTGACCAGCAATTTTCCCAGCAAGTTGTACGACCAGCAGCAGGCAGCCGGCAAGGAGCGCCTGGTGCTGCTTCACAGGAAGACCCCGGCGATTGCGGCGACGAGCGAGGTGACGATATGCGTGGTGGTGTGCGGGGACAGGCTGCACGAGGCCCTGACTATGCTCAAGTCGGCCTTGGTCTTCGCCAACAGGCCGCTGCAGCTGGTGATACTGGCGGAGAACAATCTGATACCAGCCTTCAGCGAGAAGCTGTCAGAATGGAAGCTCATATCGAACAAGACCTTCGACTTCGTCGTGCGACCCATCACCTTCCCCGAAGGCAGCGACGTGGCCATGTGGAAGAAGCTGTTCAAACCTTGCGCGGCCCAACGACTGTTCCTGCCGGTGAGTCAGGCTGCAATGTCGCTCTCCTCTCCTCAATCTTTCTTTCTTTGATTAAACTAAGGAAGAGTCGTTTAGCATATATTATTCCACTATATAATATTTGCATTTTTCAGACCGTGCTGAATGACACGGACGCGGTGCTCTATGTGGACACGGACACTCTGTTTCTGGCGCCGCCTGAGAAGATCTGGGACGAGTTCAAGAAGATGAACTCCAGCCAGCTGGCGGCTCTCAGTCCTGAGCACGAGGATCCCAACACCGGCTGGTACAACAGATTCGCCAAGCATCCGTATTACGGCAAACTGGGCGTCAATTCCGGCGTGATGCTGATGAATCTGACGAGGATGAGGGAGTTCCGATGGACGGACTATGTGATCCCCATTCATAAGGAATACCGGCTGAAGATCACCTGGGGCGATCAGGATATCATTAACATAATATTCCACTATCACCCGGAAAAGCTGTACGTTTACTCGTGCCGGTACAATTATAGGCCGGACCACTGCATGTACATGTCAGTGTGCAGCGAAGCGGAGAAAGACGGTGCCCTGGTGTTGCACGGCTCGCGCGGTACATTCCATTCGCAGAAGCAGCCACCGTTCAAGGCCGTGTACAGGGCCATGCAGGAGTACCAGCTCAACACCGACCCGTACGACGAGCTGCTGGTGCCGATGAGGAATTACCTGGCGATGGAGGACAAGTCCAACTGCGGCCGCGTCTGGAAGGTGTTCATCATTCAGCCGGAGCTGCACTTGGGCCACAACTTCTGAAGGACCGCTCGGTGTTCGACAGCCCGAACGAGACCACTTTTCCACACGTTCGTTTTGATAATGTCTTCGTCGATATATACATATAGATGTCGTGTGCAGATATCGAAGCAGTAACGAGAATAGGATGTAAGTATTTGTACGTAATCGTTTTTAGTCGTGACGTAATCGCCATCCCGTGCGTCCTCCCCTCTGTCCCTCGGAATTTTCTCGAGAGAGTTTTTAGAATCTAAAAATATTTAACTGCGTAAAGCGGTGTCCACAATGATTTAAAGGGCGTGAGATTTGAACTTTAAGCCTTAAGTCGAAAGAAATTGACCGATCACAGTCGATTGCGAGAGGAATGATCGATTGTGATCGGTCAATTTCTTGTCCGCAACCTTGTTTTCAATGGACGTTAAACTTAATGGCTTAAAACCTAATGATAAAAGCAAGGTTGTAGACAAGATCTTACGACTTAAGACTTGAAGCCCAAGTCTTACGCCTTAAATTTGCTCATTGTGCACGCCGCTTAAATATTTATGTGTATACTTATGTATGTATTTTAAATCGGAGCGCGAGATTCTCGTAAGCGATTGTCGAATCCAAGAATGTAATCCGTGTTGACTGCATGTGAATTCCGTATTATAGACTGAAACTTTTCTATGGTGCATTTGAGTTTTTTTGTTGACAAGTGCGCTATGTTGTTACTGTTTGTACAAGAAGCGATGCAGCGAATATGTTGTTATACATTTTTATCCGAATTTCGAGACAATACTTAGCTTGTGGCTTCCCACCAAGGGAAAGCGTCGGTTAGAGTCTATCTGTGGCATCACAAACGAAATATCAAAGATATCTCAGGACCACATTTTAGTCATGATTAATAATTTAATAACGAAGAATAACAATATCTGATAGTCGAGAGGGAAGATCGTCATGTTCGTTATAAACAATATCGCATTGTCCATTTGTCTGATGACAGATAGGCTCCAATCTCTAACTAAAAGACACGCGACGTTACTTTGAAACTGATGTACGTTCAGTTTCGCAAATCTCGCCAAATAAGGCGACAGCTTTTTTTTTTACTTTTATCCGCGAAAAATATTTAACTGGACTTGCAGCGTTTTCAAAGTAAACGTTCCATCTTCCGACGAGACAGTTAATTATAAGTAAAATTAATTACAAATATTATTGTAGTGTTATATACAAATAATTGAATTTCGGCTGAAGTGTTCAAATCTTTCACACGTGTTCAAATATTTCACATGATATTTTTTACGATCAATATGCGCGATTTGTGTCGTTTCACTGTCCAATTGTTGGAGAAACCATTTGTGATACTTTTCTTATAAAACATTATACAAGGCTTATGATAATAAAGATAATATTAATATTATAAATATGAAGTCTCAAATATAAGAGAGAGTATCTGAATATTTAAATAAATGTTTAAATGAATATCTATTATAATGTCTTAATGATACGAGGGAGAGTCAAAAAATTCGCGGAATGGAGAAGGGGATTGAAATAATAACCGGTTTTTTTTCCTTTTCAATATATTTTTCCTTAACTCTCAATTATCAGATCTTTTAGTTAATTTATCAAAATATGTTTTTGAACTATTTCGATAGCATTACTTTTAATTTCCAATAACGCTTCTGATTGGTTGTCGCGACAAGCGTTGCGTCTGCTCGCGATGGATTTTGTTACTAATGTAGAACGACCTTTAGGAAACCAACCAATCATGATCCGTGCAGAAAAAAGATGTTTACTATATAAGACATATGATTGATTAATTTCTTTCTGCATATGCATTTATACGACTATACAAGTTTGTTTGGATAGGCCTTAAAACTGTTTCACTTTTTTTTGCAGTGGCCTTTGTCAGACCAACAATTTGTGGTTAAAATAATGGCTTTAAGAAATGATCAGGCTCGTTATTTCCACCAGTGACATTGAACATTAGTTCAAAAATCTCCGCTACGAGGCGCCGCTTTCCTTGATGCAGGCAGGTATTCATAAGGCGATGTTCATAACCGGATTTTGTATTTATAAGGCCGTTTTAAGTTCAACTCCAGGTATTTCATGTGTGCCATTAATGAAATGAGCCTTACAACATCTAAAAAGAACTTAAGACAGATTGTCGTTGATTCGATGAGTCATTTTTCACTGGGTATATTAAGTGAAATGAGAAAGTGACGACCGTTTAATTTTGAATCTTACTTTTTAATTGAGTTCTTATGTTAAAAATAATCTGTGTCAAAAATCTGATAAATGCATTTTAAATAAAAAACTTCAAATTTTCTATTCATTTTTCAACGAACATCGTATATTGATTGATTTACTCTTTACAAGCGATTAAAGAGACGCTTTTTGCTTCAACTCTGTGAAAAAATCACACCGTGAGTTACCTATAAAAATTAATAGAAAGATCCTGCTGTCAAATACTTTCAAATGGTATAAAGATCGTTTGCGTACCATTTTTTACTTACGTGACTCTACAAAATCGATACAAAATTGTGACATTTGACAGATCCTAACTTATTTTCGTGTAGCATTGTAAAATATAAATGCGCTTTATATTCGTAAATATATCTGAAAACTAGAGACTTTCAATTTCAAAATAAATTTCAAATTTTATTATTATTTTTAGGAATATTACCAGTCCACTGAAATATCGTCTATTTTCTGGCGGTCGAGAAAACCGATCCTGAAATTATTCCGTCAGGTCTATTAATGAAACGTGTAGTTAGCAAATCATTATTTACGTGCGAAAATTATAATATTATATCAATACGTAACGGATCTGTCGAGGCGGTCATATGGACCGCTGCGTGTGTGGTGGGGACGACCATTCGTGGTGGGAAAAATTCTTCCATCTGGTACGATTGTATGCGATCAGTCTGCTCGCCGCTGCTTTCTGGACGCGACGACACGCGAGTTCGCGAGATCGGTGCGCGATTTTCTCCCGCTCTAATGTGCTGTTGCTCACAAAAGGCGTCGGTGGTGCTGAAAGAAAATTAGCAGAAACATTCTGTCGAGGTGTCACGTCGCGGCAGTGGGCCCACTCGATCCATCCTCAGGCCGGGTCGGCACCGAAGCAGATCTTCGTTAACCAGTTTCCGCAACTTTCTCGTTTTATCACCACGGATGCCGTAAATCGGCTTTGTAAATATGCGAGAGGGAACATTTTAAAGGTACCATGCATATTTACAATGTATCCGAGTTGCTCGTTTTAGAGAGAAACGTCTTTCATAGAAATATTTCCATAATTATTCGTAGAAGAAATTGCTAAAGTAGGTTAACCAGATTTTAATATATATATATATATATTTTTTTTTTAACAAGCGACAGAAATATCACGAAAAAGTAATAAGTTCTTTTTTATGATAATCATGTTCGTGGGAAATAATAACAAATCGCTTTTGTTTAATTGTGCCGAAAACGTTTTTCTGAGAAGAGGAAAGGAGAAAAGGGAAGAAGAATAATAACACCATTAAAAGCAACGTGGTTAATGGGCGATCCACTCACAGCTGATTGCGGGAGTATCAGCGCCGAGCGGCGATTAAGCAATGAACTTCTTTTGTGAAGCGCTTGATTATAAAAAAGAAAAAAAAAAAGAAAAAAGGTAGCAGGTTCGCGTGCTACGTCCAAACACGAGATAAAAACGTGACTGCTATATTCAGCGGTTAACGGTGTGCGCGCGCGGTGAGAACCTCGGCGGAAAGCAAGTGAATTGAAAAGGATCGCCGTATTACTCGTTGCATTTTCACGACTAACTCGCTGATACCCGTCTCTCGCCTTAATGTACCTGAAATGAATAAATATGGAGCGGAAAGAAATTCGCTTTAACGCGTGTTAGGTGCGAATCCAGCGTTTAAAGTGTCCCGCCAGCCGACCGTATTATCGCACGTCTTATCAGCATCCCAAATGCCAAAACTCCCAAACGAAGCGCAAAAAGTTAACGAGACCTATATTTTCAAAAACGCAACAGCAGGATTGCTCCGTTCTCTGAATCGTGAATTGACGCAGAGCGAGCGAAATTGCATCGTGATTTCGGTCGGAGGATTTTTCTAATTCGCCGTTTGAACCGATTTATCAGTTATAAATTAATTCACAGATCGAACTAATTTGAAATTAAACTAACTCGCAGATTGAATTAACTTGCAAATTGGACTAATTTAAACTGAACGAACGAGAATAGAAAGAACCGACCGAATAAGATAATTTTCCGGACAGTCCAAAATCGGGACATAAGACATCTCTGAGATATCTTTAAGACTTCAAAGATATCTTAAAGACGTTTTATATCCCGATTCTGGACATTGTGCTGGGTTGGAGACAATTTTTACGTTTCTGAGGATTGAAGGGAAAGTCGCAGCTGCGAATTTCCATCGATCTTCCGCTTTCGTTTTGGCCCGGTGATTTTCACGCAGCGATCCGCGATTTTCGCGCAACGATCGGCGCCGTGATTTACGATCTAGAGCCGGCCCTGATCCGTGATGATCGTCGACGCGGCTCTCGCGCGCGCGCACGGATCCGCGACGAGCGGTGATAAGAATCGGGCGGAATGATAAGTGGCGCGATAACGGGTGAGTGAAATAAAGGAACGAATTAAAGGTAAGAAGAAGTTGAGGAGAAATGTGACGGTTTCTGTCAGTTTTGACGACGATCGCAGCCGCGGTCTCGTCTCACCGTCGTGTCGCCGAACTACGTTTTTTCATGTCCGTGAAAAGAGCTGCATGGATACGGACAGGTGTGCGTCGATCGTGACGGGAAGAGGTGAGAGGCCGTATCTTCTCGTTGTTCCGTGCGTGTTGCGTTGCGTACGCCAGCGTGTACGCACCCGTAGCGTTACGGTATCGATGTACCGTAGTACAGGGTGTCCCGAAAGCCACCGATGAATTTCTCAAGTCTTGTAGAATCAATTAGGAATATTCAACTTCTCTTAAGAACAAAGTTCCTTACATCCTTTAACGGCATGGTGGAATTTTCCACGTATCCAGGAAAATGGAGTGTGTTGGGCCCGACCTCATGCTCTGTTTTGTTCATTTTTCACGCAATCGATACGAATCGATATACAAAAGGGGTAAAAGAAGCAAATAATGACATTTCTTAACACGTTGAATATCGTGGAGGTCATCGGGGACCGGCGTTGTGATATCACCGTGTCTTATTAGGTTGCGCATAAAACATAATTGATTGCATGTAGAAAATAGGATGTACAGCCAATAAAGAGCCGATGAAACGAAGTAAGAGATACGTGTTTACCCAGAATTATATTTATTTACTGTACTAACTTTAGTGATGTAACCCATTAATTGGACGATCAATGGAAATCAGCGCGGCATTCGACATGTTAAGAAGAGAAACAGCGCTGTAAAATAAATGAGCCATGGAGTCGCATCCGACCTCAACCTTACCGTTAGAGGATTACGTATTTTAGCTTGATTTTGTACAAAAGCCGTTTACAGCTGACGGATGAGTTAGAGAAAGGAAGAGAAAGATAGCTTTCTATGGCTATTCAGGCCCGGAATTTTATATTCTTCCGATAACAATAGACTTCAAACAATAGTGCCAACGGTCGAGAGATGTTTCCACGTTCTTCAGATTATTATGTATTTTTTTAATATGAGCGCGAAGTCTTGCTGAAAGTTAGGTATTTTCCACATTTCGGCACTTCGGGACGGAGGAAGCTCGATGTTTCCGAACGCAAGAATAAACGTGACAAAAATAACGTCTCTAATATCGTCGGCATGATACACACCAAAATCAGCAATAAAAATAAAGTAGCGGTAGATTAAGAAACAATGAAATAATAATGAATTAAGAAATAAAGTTTAATTCAATTGCGAGTAAGTGGCCGTATAATTATCGACGATTCGCTGCTGCTTTTCTGGGACACTCTGTATTCGATAAACTCGTATCTGATGCTATGATGCTACCGTGCATTCGTACTCGTCGCAGTTGCGATATCGGTTTTAATTTGTTTTCAAGGTACACCAACAACAAGCAGTTTGCGCAGTTGATTAAAGATGCCGTGTTTCGCTCGCCGGGAATTCCACGCTCGCCGTCTTCACGGCGAATCGCGAATTTTTAACGGAACTGAAAGTTACTCATACATGGTAGAGTCGTTTTTAATAGTAAAATACGTAACGAGGAAAGAACGTGATCGAAATATATAGAATAATATACAGGACAAAGCAAGAATTATCATCGGTTATCTTCGAAAAATAAAATTATTTTATCAACGACTAAATGAAATTGAAAAAAGTTGACGTCTACAGAAATTATTCGAAATAATGACAATTGGTATGAACACATTTTCTGTTATACTGAAAGTTATAAAAAAAGTGCTACATTCAAGTGATATATATTTAATTCAAGTAAAAAAATTGCTCCAATACTTTTTAGCAAATTTTTACTTGAATATAATACCGCATTATAATATAATAATTTTGCTTTCAATGTGTAGATACATCTTCCTACTACACACAGAAAAATACATGCTGCATTCAAATAAATGTTACTTGTTTCAAATATTTCATAAATGTATAAATATATTTATAAGTATTTCGTAAGTAAATAAGTTTATATATTCGAAAATATATCATAAATTCATCATAAGCATCAAATTTACTCAAAATATATTCTGAATTATGTATCGAGTATTTCAATCGAAAATATTTAATTAAAACAAACTTCGGTTTGCTTATTTAAGATAATCGATTTTATCTTTTCTTCGATAAAGTTTATAATATTTTTGAGAGGAGAAATTCTCCTTTTCAATACATGATAATGAGCTGTTCTAAAAAATTGAGCCATGAATATGTTTTAAAACTATTGTAAAAACTATTATGAAAAAAAAACCTTTGGAGATAACAATTTCTTAAAAGAAAGGAAATAAACAAATAAATCGCTCTTCGTAGCAGTAGAATATTTTTCTCTGCGTGTACTCTCATATTTCGAACATGGTAGCAAATTTTGCGTTAAAATCAGTTTCCTGAAATTTTATGTTATTTTAACATGAGGAATGTATTAAAAAGCATACAAATGCTGTAATGCTAAATTAACATATTCACCTTGTCATGTTGTATTATTTTGTCGACGTTCTCCATACTAAAGTTTCAGTGGACTGCTTTCAATATAAAATTTTCCATTGCCAAGATATTTCAATGTGATAATAGTTATTACCTCACCTTGTATTATAACGCGAGATAAAATAATAATTTGGTGTTATAATAACTGGAGAATAATGTTGCAATGCAGCGCCCGGGTCGGAGATTAAAATGAAATTTAAATAAGAGATTGGTCTTATTTAATTAAAGCGGCTCTCTCTGTTAAAAACGCCCCGCTACTTTCACTGCGTTATACTTCAATGCTCTCGCTCGAAGCTATTACGTTTTCTCGTGTCGTGATCCTGTAATATGCAAAATGAGTAGTCAAACGCGTTGTATAGGCATGTAATTATACATAGCACTTGGTTATAATGAAGTTATTTTTCAAAGAACATTATCGTGCCACCATTACTGCTAATTGGAGTCAGAACAGACCAATTGTGAGCTAGAATTTGATCGAATGATTCAACAATCGGGTTTAAGATATAGCCGTTCCTTGCTAGTGTCGTAGAATATAAATGTCAAGTATTAAAGAGACGGAAAACGGCGGATATCAGTTATTGCGATGTACATTTCGATATTTTCTCCTCGATGTAGAAAATTAATCACGATTTCGCGTTTAGTCTGTCATTAAAAACGAGGAGAAATAAAAGATATAGCATTAACGAGCTGGACGAAGGCAAAGGACGAAACTTTGAGGAGAAAACTCCTCTTTATCTTATTAAATGATATGCAAACAAAACAAGGAAAAATTTCGCGAATTTTCTCACTCGATATCAAAATCCGGATAATTGTTTGCTGAGTATCCAGATAGAAAAGAAAATCATGATAACGTCGAAATGACGAGAAAGTGGTTATTAAAAACTCACGTTTCGATCATTTTCTTATCATTTTAATGTCATTTCGACGTCATCATCATTTTTTGTTCCACTAACCTTCTTATTTTGTAACTTGTAACGAAAATTTCGTTAACTAAAACGTGTCGTCGCCCAATTACTTCATAATACATTTTGAACGAGCAAAGATTTGTAAGATTAGTTTTTGCTTATGATACATGTGCAATTTAAATGTATTGAACAAACAGTTTATGTGAAAAGAATTAAACCTGTAAATTCTGAAGTTATAATTTTATCAATTTTCTGTCATTATCAAAAACTGATCTGTGGAAATTACTTTACTGTCATTTTGATATTATTGCAACTTTTTGTTTCTGCTTGGGAGAGTGTTGGGTACTGAAGAAATACGACCGGCGACCTGAGCCACCAGCGTACAATCCGGACCTGAAATTGTTTGATCGTCGATCGTGACAATCGACGGTTGATCGGAGCGACGGTATTGTTGCGTGTCGCCAGTAGTTTACATTTATCCCGGTAAACCGGCCCGTCGTGGCGGGGATCGGCGTTTACGAAATTCATAACAGCTTAGTCAGGAATTGTGAGGTGATGCCAACGACCTGTAAGCCGAAACCACCTGCGCTGTTCGCTCGCCCACTAACGCTGGCCACGCTAACTGCCTACGCCGCGCGAAGTCAACCTGTTATCGCTCACGCGTTCGCTTTGACACCGTTTCGCTGGGCTGCGAGATAAAATTATTGGTGACAGACGCACATACGGACGCGCGAGATACTCGATCGTAATTTCTGTACGAACTGCGGTTTATGCGAAACGTAGAGAGATCGAGCGAGGAATTCGCGAATCCTAATGTGGATTCGCAAAAATTGCTCTGACTAGCAAGCAATTTTGCATTAAGAACGATCCGCTGAAATTTTATGTTTACTTTAACATAGGGAATGCGTTAAGAAGTACACGTATATACATATATGTATTAAAAAGTCTATAACGTAACGTTAACACATATTCACCTTGTCAACGTACACAGGAAAAAAATTAGTCAAATCAAGAATAGATGTTCTCATGTATAAGCACGATGAAAAAACAAGTTTCATCATAAATGGAACAATCGTGGAACAATCAATGGAACAACCACATGCATTTCGGTTGAAGGAAACAGAATTTCTGGTCGTAAGAATTACATTTGGGTCATAAGAAATTCCGTTTCCTTCAAGTAAAACGCGTTTGGTTGTTCATCGTCAGATAAATCCAAGCGAACTCATATTTTCAGTGTGGATGACGATCGATTCGCTTTTCTTCTGATGTTTGTAGCCGAGAGGTGACACAGCGGGTCCGGGAGACAGACATGCGCAACCATCGAGTCACGTTGGATGAAAATTCAATGTGAACAATGAAATCGCACGCTTTGCGTCACGTTTTCCGACCGCGTTTCCTTCGATATTGCACAACGTGAATCGGCAGAAGCGACGTCCTTTTCACAAAAGCGTCCGATGGCGAACGACTTGTCGCGCGGCAACCGCTCGTGAAAATATTTCATACAGATCGCATGACGAGTCTCAAGGATATCGCGCGATACGACGATTATCGAAATCGATCACCGGGTCCCGCTTATTTACCTGCAATTTCAGAATCCCGTGATTCGATTTCAGATTAGAATTCGCGATTGCAGTTCGTCGTGTGTGATCATGACTTTGAGATCGTCACCAAGCGGCACGTATCTTTAGATATCCATCCGAATATCTCGGAATATTCAGAATCCTACAAATCTGTATAATTCGATTAAAAAGTGGGGAAATTAAAGATTTTTATCCGAGGTGGAAATAAAGAAGAAGGAGTCATTTCGATTAAAGAGTTTTCCAAATCTACGGGGGAAAGATCTAAGAAGGTTGCGGAATTTTCGACGAGAGGAAGCGGGCACTCGAATCCGCCACGGCGACGAGAAGAGCGGAACATCTTGAGCACGATATTAAACCGGCATTATTTCTCATCAAAAGCGAAAGCGACCCAGACGGACGGAGAGTTAAGTGTCGCATCTGAGGCGACCTGGCCGCGATGATCGCGTAGAGTCGAGCGCAAACGAGGCGTCGTCGGCCGGTGTCGAGGAAGGCAGAGCGCGCAGCTTTGTTTAAAGGCGACGTTACGTAAACACCGTTCTCGTTCGAGGCACGCGGTTTCTCGGAGCGAAGGAATGAGACATGCGGTCCGAGTAGGCACCCGACGAATAGGAGGGGGAGGAGGGGGAGGTGAAGACCCCGCGTACCTGGAAACGTGTCATTCTGCGAGCGCCGTCTCTGCCGCCGGACGGTAATTTTGTAAAATGCTGCAAATAAGTACATACCCGGGGATATAAATACGCAAGGAGTCTCCGCTCGTGTGTATTCTACGGTTACGGGGGGGCTGGAAGTCGCGACCGACGTAACATGTGGTTGCCGATAGATAGTACTTTTATTCGATCTCGCGTCGCACCACCGGCGAATCGCGAGATTGCAATTACAGCTGCGTGCCTTCTCCTCTACGCCGTGGTTCTCCACTCGTATCTCTAACGTCAATACCGCGCGGCGTTCGAGCGGTATCGCGCGAACAATTATCGATCGTGTGTTATGATTCAACGAATGCTGATTTAACTCCCAGTCCGCGCGATACCGCGCCGATTGTTCCCCGTTACGCGTCCCGTCTTATCTGCGCCGAGATATCTCGGTCGATGAGCAACACCTCGCAATAAAACAATCGTTTAAAGTAATCGGAAAAGAATGTCGCAGAATGCCGTAGATTTTCAGCGGCGATATCAAAGGGCCCCCGTTTAAGTTTGTTATTTACCCGCGAGTCTGGGCATTTCTCCATACTGTCTAAAGGCAACGCCGTAAATGCGTTGATAATTTATAAAAAAAAAGCAGTCGGACAATAACTACACAGAGTGCATTGAATAGATTTGATATATATCTGGTGGATAATAAATGTAATAATAAAAAATATATAATATAAAAGTAATAAACGATACTCTCAATTAAGAGAATTGCATGCGATCATCCTTACAGTCTCAGCCATAATAATTAGAAAAAAAAGAAAGACTCAATGTGTTAAATATCTCAGCATAATTTCAGGGTTAATACCCTCGCTAGACATATCGACTAATTTCCACCTCAATTGAAACGCTTTAAAGAATCTTTTCACAAGGAATGTCTTAATTAAAAGATGAAAGTTACAAGGGAATGCCACACTTGAAAACTTCACCGACAGAATACTGATTTTTTCCGCAAAGTTTACGTATTATTGATTGCACAAAATTATATAAATACTTTTACACAGTGAAAGTACATGTCAAAATGAATTAGAACATTGCTCAATATGGGACGAAAGTGATTAAAATTTTTACGACATTTTTAGTTGTCAGTTAGCGTAAATATTCATGTGATACAGAAATTATAACTTGCATGTACCGAACGTGTCAATGCTTCAATCCAGGAATATTTCGAAGAACATCTTTATATCTTTTCAGTCAAATCTGGAGGTCTAAAAAGACACGAGAAATTTGCAGGACAAATTTTATATACCTTGGTTTTTCTATTAGATATGGTAAAATAAAATGCATGTTCATTTCGTTCATATTTATATCGCGCTTACACTTGCGCAAAATCTGTACGTATAAAAAATACAAAAAGAATAGCACGATCGTGTCAGTGTTTATGTAACATAACATTTTGAGGATCGCTTTTATATTATCGACGCTTATCAAGTTGGTCATCAACTTAGCGCATCCTTTTAAAACTTTTTGGCATCAAATTAACAAGAGGAAAAAGGCGATTAAGTGCCAGAGTACGGGCCGTCTAGCGTCATTAAACGAACAAATTATATTGTATTATATAACATTTATTATCCTGTTAAAAGCTCTATAAAAATTCGATCGAAAGGATTTATATTCTTCGATAGCTCTATAAGAATATTTAAATAAAAACTATATTTCCAAACTATTTTATCAGAATATTTGACAAGAATAGAAAAATTCGCGACCTCTCAGACAACAGAAACGTTTGTGAAGCTTGTCTTTTTAGACATTCGTGCCGTCTGTGTTCGCTTCAGCATAGAATCGCAATCGGATTAAGATGAGCTTAGGCTCGCCTATCTTCTCAATCTGTCGAGTTTCGATGCTAAGCTTCATAATGAGAACGTTGTCCCATCCGACGTGCTAACGGACCCTACCTATGATTTATTCACGCAGGATTGAGAATGCCGCTGTTCAAGCCGCGGGCCACGCCGAGATCGCCGATAACGGAGAAAGCTGCGAACGGCGTGCAGCAGCAGCAGCAACAACAGCAGCAACAGCAACATCGGAATCATCACCATCATCAGGCCGATGACAATAATCACGACGGCGCGAGCAGTAACGGTACCGGTAACCGGCCAAGCCATACCGTGTCACGATCGGCTTTTTCGCCGAGTGCTCCACCCGAATACGATCAGACGAGAGGGTCTCGGGCCCCGAGACCGTCTTTGGTCTTCCACTGCCAACTGGCCCATGGCAGCCCCATGGGACTGATATCGGATTTCAGCAACGTCCGCGAGCTGTACCAGAAGATCGCCGAATGCTACGACTTGCCCGCGGAAGAGGTGAGTACACCGAGAGGAGAAACATCCAAATAAAAAGTATTTATTCGGTGGGTAATATTAATAACATATTTACTTAAATATCTCTATAATTATATTCTCTATATTTACTTAAATCCTCTATAATTTAAATAGAATAAACAATTGCTTTCATGAAAAGCTACAGAAAAAATATATTTTCTCAATTGAGACAAAATTTGTTCTCAGCGTGAAAATATTTATATTAGTATAAGTGTCATATAATGCCCACCGAATACATCTTTTTTTATTTTATTTCTTAGATAATTGATATCTCTCAGTATGTGAGGCGGCGTCGTCGGGAAACCGGGGAGCGGGCGCTGAGAGAGATAGAGAGAGAGAGAGAGAAAAAGAGAGAGAAAACGATTTGGTAAATTGCAATATAGTGACTTTCATTTCCGGACGCTCACTGCTTTCTTATTAGACGAGGCAAAAGTGTCGAGAGTGTCTAAATATTAAAGAAACTGATAGCGCTGATGTTTTCGGGAACAATATTTTACGAAAATGCTCACAATCATTATGATCGCGAACGTTTCGCTCCCGAATGGATTCGGTCTCTCCTCGGCGCGTATTACACATTTAAAAATAAGAAGCGTGCGCTATCGCCTGAACAGATCTATAAATAGATAGATCAGGTAGTGATGACGGTGTGACTTTAGCGAGTTCAATTTCCAACGCGATAGTTTCGCGTTGGAATCCAGGTATGAGCTCAGCGAAACCGTTATCGACCCCCCTGCCCCCTCCGATAAATCCTCGAGATAAATAAATAAATATTAGACGTAAGAAATAATCTCGTGTAAAAGATACCTCTGAAAAATGCAACGAATATGTCTGAAGGAGTGAGAGATTGGTGATGTAGGATAAAGTTGCCGACGCGGTCGACGATAATGGAGTGTCATGCTGGACAACTAGGAGCAGAGATTGGTTTAGTTTATTGTAGCGTACGGGTGCGAGAGTAATATGCACGTGGACGAACGCAACTCAGCTCATTCCCAGCGCGGAACACCCCACGTTAGTTAGGGAGAAAAAACGACACCGGACGCAGGAAACGGCGGTCACGGACCGTGGCCTCTCGTCGACCTGGCGGATATGTCCCGGCGAGAGAGCCGCCTGTAATTCGACGTGTAATGACGCGCTGTAAACGCGACAGACGCGATGTAACCAGGTCGCCCGTGGCCGGCCCAGCTCGTTATGGCTCGCTTGAAGCCTCTCTACGGCGTAGAATTTCTCGTTGGACGTCAGCTGCGCTAATCCTTTCCCGTCCGGGCACAAGTGCGCTTTATCGCGAAATGATTGGAGAAGTAGCGAAATAAAAAGTAGAAGATAAAATTAATTTGGACATATAACTAGATGTAAGAAAGAAAAATATCATAAGAGTTAAGTCAAACGTAACGACGAAATTCGGATAACAAGACGCAACAAAGTTTCGTTTCTGCTTGATCCAAGAGGCATAAAAGAATATTGTATAAAAGAATGTTTAATTCTAGCATTCCAAATCGTCTCTCATATGTTCTCCATCCATTTCGTTCCTTTGTTCCTATATAGGGACGACAAACTTACTTACCTCCAAAAAAAATGTTTTATCTATGATAAAGGTAGATTCTGGTGTAGATCTTGTTACTGAAATATAGTTTAGACTTTTGCCTTTCGAGAAATAATTTCATCCGGCTATCACCCATCACCTCCTCGGTGGTGGATGAGGGTGGAAAATAACCTTGCGAAACACATATTTTTGATCATTGCCTCGCATTTTTAGTTAAATAATTGAAAATAGTAAAAAATAAAAAAATTGGAAAAACAATAATAAGGTATTGTCAAAAGTTCAAATCGTCGATAATGACGATTTCCGTTATGATATAATTCACTAGGTGTACGCCAGGTGTCACTCAAGGTAGATGTTCTGGGGAAAACGGTTGCTCGGAAATTTCTCGAAATGATTTCAGGTTTTTTGAGTTCCTTGAGTCCCAATTATCTTAAGGCGATATTTGGATCTCATGGATCTCAATATTTTTGCATCTCGGCCCGAAATGAGTAAAACGATATCAAAAATAAAATCTCGTCTTATTTATATTACATTATTTTTAAGTTAAATTAATTTAAGTAAAATTAAGTTGAATTATATATCAAGCGATCTGCTCGAATATAATTAAAATTAAGAAGACGGTGCCGACAAGAGGTGCCGAAAATTAAACGAACGTTTCACGTTTCAGATTCTCTTTTGCACGTTGAATACGCACAAAGTGGAAATGACAGAGTTGCTGGGTGGACAGATCGGCGTGGGGGATTTTATATTCGCGCATAAAAAAGGTAGTTATCTATCTCCTACATATTCCATAAAAAAGTTAGTTATCTATCTCCTACATATTCCATATATGATATCTCATTAAACAGATCATTCAATTCACACGGCTCAACCAAGCTGACTCAATGATTTCGTAGAAATCAAAATGACTAATTTGTCGTCGATATATTCAAATATGCGTCTGATCAAAATCTTCCCGTCCAAAGTAGATTTTAAGTGGAAATAAAAATGATATATAATAATCATAATTTAAATTTGCAAAATTACGCAGGCCGACCGAAGGAAATCGAGCTGGTGAAGACGGACGATGCACTGGGCCTGACGATCACCGACAACGGCGCCGGTTACGCTTTCATAAAGCGCATAAAGGAGGGTTCCGTGATCGACAGGATAAAAGTGATCGAAGTGGGCGATCACATCGAGAGGATCAACTCCACCAGTTTGGTCGGCAAACGACACTTCGAGGTGGCAAAAATGCTGAAGGAAATATCGAAGGGTTCAACATTTACGTTGAGACTGGTGGAACCGCAGAAGAATGGCTTTGGCAGCATTGGTCCCCGTGGTGACCTCAGGAAAGGAAAGAAATCCGGCTACGGGTCCGGCAAGGAGACCCTGAGATTCAAGGCTGACGGCAGCGCGCAAATTATAGAGAAGGTGCGTGTTGGAAAAGTAAAAGGAACATGAGACCGCTTAGAAAAATTATGAACGGTCATATAAATAAATTGGCCATAGTTGTGTAAGATGGATCCGCGTAAAGTACGTTTCGAGAAAAATAAAGATGAAAATTTGACATATGATTGAAAAAGTGTAAATGGCACTGAAATTCTTCACAATCGTTCAAAAATTCAAGCATAATCCATTTTTTCTTCTTAAAGGTATTCATTGACAAGCTTAACTTTTAGAAAATAAATTGAAAATAAAGTATCTGCACGGAGAAAAAAGGTTTTACTGAATTAACGAGACAATGAACGAAGCGAACGTTTTGGTTGGACGAAACGGAATGTCTAGATCTTCGTAAGAAGCAGAAATTCTGTTTCTTTGAATCAAAACGCGTTTGGTTCGTTCATTGTCGCATTAATTCGACCAATTTTGTTTCTCCGTGTACATTCTCGAAGAACGCCAAGAATATCGTCGAAAACGAGTTTTTTATTGTGCGATATTTACATAATTCTCATCTTCATTTCTATTGTTCATTGTTCAGGTCGACGATACCGCAGCCATCGGCGTCGAGAAGATCAACACCATCTTGGAGAGCTTTATGGGTATCTACGATACGGAACTAGGTATATTTAATTCAGACATTGAATTTGAGTCGACATTTTAGTTCGACATTAAGTCTTCAAAGGTTTCCTATTGTGCTCCTTTGATGCTACAAATGGGAAATTATATCCATTTTCTATTTATCACTAAGATATCAATCGGTTGTCACTTCTGATTTACGCTTAGCCACGCAAATCTGGGAGCTCGCCGAAGGCAAGTGCAACAGTATAGACTTCGCCGAAGCGATCGACAATTCCGACTTGGAAGCTTTTGGCTTCACTGACGACTTCGTGATCGAGTTGTGGGGCGCCGTGACGGACGCCCGAGCTGGTCGGCATCGATGACGCGAGGACCGATGACGATCAGCATCCCGACGAATATATCGAAGAGGGAGAGAGAAAGAGACAGGAAAAGGCAACTTGGACAAAGACAGCTTGAAGATTTTGCAAGATATTTTAGACTCGGTGGGACAATCGATAGAGTTTCAGGTGGAATGGACAACAAGTGCTTCTTCAAGTGAAAGATGATGCATTGACGTACCATTCGCTCACACTCGCATGTTACCATGATTTTAGAGGTTTCATTCTCGGCGTACATTTTTTGCTCCTTGAGAATGCGTTCAAGATCGCAAGTGCATTACGAGAATCGAGAGTTTAGCATTGGACTTGCGGCGGAAATGTAGGCTGAAATCTGCAATACTCCACGTCGACTAAGAGTTATCGTATAGTGCATCGTGTCATATGGCAAGCGCAAAGTCGAATCAAGAAGGAGAAGAAGAAGAAGATGAAGAAATAACGGAGAACCTTCTGATGGTTTGCGCGCTGAAGAAGGAAAGTCTAAGCGTTTCCTGTATTTCCTACTTTTGCGCGACGAAGCTTCGGTGAAAACATATTTTGCATTTTATCGTTTCGTTATTAAAATTATCAATATGTTATTAAAGTTGACTAAGTAAAATATTATTAAGATTGATTAATAAAGTATTACCAAGTTTTATTAAGTTACGCTATTCCTGAAATTTATTTAAATAATGTATTATATATTTCTTTAGGAATACTTTCTCTCTCGTTTCATTTCCGCTCCTTCTTGGTGCAGGCTTAATTAAAGGCTTCGTAATATTCTCGATGCATTTAATCAGCTGATAGAGTGTCGGTGACGAACGTGTCTTTCGGATTCGGCATATCGTTTTCTATATTACATAATTGCAATGCAATAAGAACACTGTTACGGCTGATATCGATGTTGATTTCCTCGCGCAGTTGCGAAACAGCTCTATTTGTTCGAGTCGACGTCGATCTATGAACACGTGGAAAAGAATTTAATCTTAGCTGCTAATATTAATATTTAATTATTCGCAAGGCAGCGTAAACATGCTGATTCAACGTGTTCGTCATCGTCAGTATCATCGGCGTTATTCAATTGTGAGCCAATTAGTATTCATCAGCAACAAATATTCTAGAGACGCTTGTTACACGAGTGACAAAAATGTGTTATAATATATCTCGATATGCATGTCAGTTCGACAAGTTCACGATGTATAAGATTAAAAGAGTGTGTTATTTAGTGTTACTTAGTGTCAATAAATAAAATCTTTGTAACAAACACGTAATGTTTTTTTTCCGATCAATTCAACGTATACACCGGTTATTATTCGATATAACGAGTATGGATGCAGGCGAAGTTATCGAAAAATTTTGAAGCTTTGATGTTAAGAGAGGAAAATTAGGAAGAACACGTTCTTACGAAACGTTTCTCCTATTATTTTGCCAGATCATTCACTAATTCTTTACCCAAGTCAACATTTAATTTTGCGAGCTTGCAAGAGCCGCTGTTAAAGTGCAAACACGGCGGATGTGATAAACACATTCTTCTTGTAGAGTGCTGCATCTTATTAATGCACAGGATCGTCTTAGAAAATTTAAGCACCTTGGTTTGATAATTAACATTTTTTTTTCTTGCTTTTATCTCTTGCTTGAGTTTTCTAAGATTCGAATGATGAACAGAAGATGCAAGAAGAATCAACCAGAAATCCTTCAACCAAAATGTGTTTGATTGTCCATTTTCAGTTTGATTAAATTAAACTTTCCCAATGTAATAGAATATATTATTATGAGATTACTTTAAAAGTGGGAAATCAAATGATACCGTAACGATAATAGGGTTTTTGTAATAGGGAGTTTTTGTAATAACATTTTTCAGATACGGTGAGTGCTAAAATGCGTTCCGGTACTCACTGCCAACATTTCAAATCTATAGATCTATAGATACGTAACACAAACTATAGATTCGCCGTGAATATCGGAAATCGCAATTTAGTGTTCACCGTATCTGAAAAATGTTGTTGCAAAACTCTTTAATGACGTGTCGTTAAAAGTTATAGGCCCGCATTCTGAACACGCATTCATAGTCGGATTTTATGTTTAAGACCGTCTTAAGTTTATCTTCCTATGTTTCGTGGCCAATGAAATGAGTCGTCTGAAAATAAATTTAAGACGATCTTAACACGTTCATTGTCAATCACGCGACATCGCGTGACACGAGTTCTCACCAAACGGCCGATCACGCGTTATCGCGTAATAGATATTTAGAGTGCATAAATCCTATGTACATAATAATAAAAGCATATAAATAATATATTAATTTATTTTGAGCACAATAAAAACTAAATAAAAAAATAAAAAAAATTTGGCCACCACACGAAATTCGAATTTTCAGCTTGGCGATGAACGTGTTAAATATAAGATTCGATTATGAATACAGACCTGATCGGAAGGACTCGAGTCTGCTTGTATCGAAACGACGATGTGCAAATAAATCTGCTCAGTCAGTCTTCGCGCTTCGAAGCGTGAGCATTCAAAGTGGGGGTGTATTTAGCGATATCCGAAATTTACGACATCGTGGCAGAAGAGCGTTTTGATACGAGGACATTAATTATGTGACGTTGACTTTTTCACCTGAAAAGATAAAAAAGACAATTATAGAAGATAGAACAATAATAGAAGCACGGAGTAACTTTGCAGCAAGCTACACGAGCGGCTTACACTTAACCTCTAACACCGCGTGATTTTGCGTAGAATTTATAAATAATATATATATATATATATAACGGACGAACATGGCGTTCGTATTGAAAAGAGCCGGTGGAATGTTTCTACGTTTAAACGGCGGCTCGCGAGCAATTCAGAGCCATATAAATATATCAAGAGTAAGCGTGATTATTGTGACGTATTATCAGATGCTACTTAACCTACGTCGTTACAGTAGAATTATTTTGATTGTCTCACAACAATATAGAATATCATTGCGACGAATAATCGTACTTGTCTTCTACGATCTATTTCATTCGCGAAATCACGTGAAATTGTATCGGTGATTTTGTAATTTGCGACAAGAATGTTACTCTAGTTGATTTTTCTCATATTTCTTTTCATATATCTTAGCTATCTTGGCCATTTTTTATATATTTTTGATCTCTTACATTTTCATACCTCTATTACTATACTTCATTCTCATAATATTACTTCATATCTTGTTTTATCCAAATATTAATTTGATATATCTTTAAATACTAACATATGTTAGTATCATAAAACATCCTTATGAATGAGAAATCTTGTTCGACAGATATGCAGCGTTAAGTTCTCTATTAAAGCGAATATTCCGCAAGTAGAGGAGGAGAGCAAGAAAATCAAAGCACCGGTGGGACATGGCAAAATATTCAGAAGCATAGAGGAAGCTGTCTCCGACATACCCGATGGAGCGAAACTGTTGGTCGGTGGATTCGGTCTCTGCGGCATTCCGGAGAACTTGATAGCGGCGGTACTGAATAAGGGCTCCAAAGATTTAACAGTAGTCTCGAACAATGCTGGAGTGGAGGACTTTGGACTGGGCATACTATTGAAGGCCCACCGAATCAAAAGGATGATCGCCTCCTACGTGGGTGAAAATCCGGAATTCGAGAGGCAGTATCTCAGCGGCAAATTGGAGGTCGAATTAACGCCACAGGTAACGCGAGAACGAGAGAGAAAAGATATAAAATTGAATAGTGTGTGTATGGAAAATTAGTCTCATTAACTTTACTTCGGTGCACTTACAGGGCACTTTGGCGGAGCGCATCAGAGCGGGAGGCGCCGGCGTTCCAGCGTTCTACACCCCCACAGCTTTCGGCACTATCGTGCAGGAGGGCAACGTGATCATCAAGTACGACAAAGACGGTAACGCGGGGATATCGGGCGAGCCCAAGGGCGTGAGTCAATTCAACGGACGGCAGTACGTGCTGGAGACCGCCATCACCGGCGACTTCGCGCTGGTAAAGGCGTGGAAGGCCGACACCGCGGGTAATCTGATCTTCCGGAAGTCCGCCCGGAACTTCAACCCGGTGATGTGCAAGGCGGCCAATGTGTCGATCGTCGAAGTGGAGGAGATCGTGGAAATCGGCCAGTTGGATCCCGATCAGATTCACATACCGGGCATCTTCGTGAACAGGATCGTGAAAGGCCCCTCTTTCGAGAAGCGTATCGAGGTACTCGCGTCTGCATTCACCTTGATCGATGTCCGCTTGATATCGCCTGTGCCGCATATCGTTACACATATCTGGTTATGTAGATTTCCTCCATTTGAATGTTGTTTTTCTGCCACGCAGAGACGCTCGACGAAACAATCCGCTAAGCCGAAGAAAATGACCCCGGCTGGCAAAGCGAGGGAAAGGATCGTTAGGCGCGCCGCGCTCGAATTTAAGGACGGAATGTATGGTGAGGAATGAGGTTGGAGATTAGGATTACCAGCGCCTTTATTCCGTTACTTTTAACGCGTGCGTTACAAACCTTTGCGCAGGCGAAATGTATCACGAACGGTCCGCTCCAATTAGCTGAACTGGCTGCGTCAGTTCGAGAAATTTGCATACACGTTGAAGCGTACGAAGCGTGTACGTATGAGATTCTCACGCTTCAGTGTGCGTAAATTTCTTGAATTAATGCAGCTGAAAGGTCCGACTCGAAAGAACAGACCAGAAATAACTGCGCAACGATACGTTAATGATGACGAGATTTTCTCGTTGCGAGAATAAGGAGGCTGAATTAGAAGTCGGCCGGTGTCCACTTGGAAAAATGCTGGAGGAACTCCCTCGCGAATGTACCATAAAATGGTAATCTTTACAGCGAACTTGGGGATCGGCATACCCGTGCTCGCCAGCAACTACATCCCGAAGGGTGTGAACGTGACGTTGCAATCGGAGAACGGTATCCTCGGGCTGGGTCCTTTCCCGGACGAGAGCGAAGTCGACGCCGATCTTATCAACGCTGGCAAGGAAACCGTCACGGTTTTGCCCGGCGCCTCTTTCTTCGGTAGTGAGGACAGTTTCGGCATGATCAGAGGGTAATATAATTATGTCAAGTCGATTGGAACGTCGAAGAGAAGAGGCGCTACAGAATTGTACTTTTTCAGAGGGCACGTCGACCTGACCATCCTCGGTGGCATGCAAGTGTCGGAGACCGGAGACCTGGCCAACTGGATGATACCCGGCACGATGGTGAAGGGCATGGGTGGTGCTATGGATCTCGTTTCCGCGCCGGGCACGAAGGTGGTCGTGACTATGGAGCACACAGCCCGAGGCGGAGTCCCGAAGATCCTGAAAAACTGCACTTTACCTATCACGGGTAACGTTTATCACAATCACAGAAAAAATCAACAAAAAATATCACAAAAAAAAACAAAACAGTCAGGATACATCACGTGATGTATCCTGACGTTTTGTTTTCTTTTTTTCAATTGTGTCTGCATTGTTATTTGTTAATATTTCGTCGCTTGTGATATCGTATCTTGTATTTTGTAACACTTCTATGCTGTTCTCGCCTCTGTATCATTCTCTCCCGCATCTTTTCCCAGGCCAACAATGCGTAGACCTGATTATCACAGACCTGGCGGTGTTCGAGGTGGTGAAAGGAGAAGGACTGAAGCTTATCGAGATCGCCGCCAATGTCGACATCAGCGAGGTCGTTAGTTCGACGGGCTGCGAATTCGCCGTCGCCAACAACCTGAAGGAGATGGGACAAGTGGAGGTCGACGAGTCGTAAATTGTAATATATATCGCTCAAATTCTAAATGACACGTGCGAGGCGAGACGAACATCTCGTTGTGATTGCCTGAAAGTATACATATATATATATATAAATTTTAATATCTCTTACATTCTCTTTTATATACGATTCCTAAGGTAGAAATTCTAGGAGACGTAGAACGTTGAAATTCGACAAGAAACGTTGAAGAGCTAAGATTCCAGTAAATATGTAATATAATGAGTAATGAGAGAATGTTATTCTAATTATTTTAATTGCCAGCAACTTTAATTTGCGTAATAACATTATCAATAGGCATCCGTGCTTGCAATACATTGCAACGTTCGAGTTACATTAAATAACAGTACACGAGAGAAAAATCCGTTTCCGTGATATGTGTGCGTTATGTTAATGACGTAATGCACGATACATGTAAAGATATGTTTCTTATAAATGTACAAATGTTTTTACACGTGGCTGCTAAAACGCTCGAACTGATTTTACGGTGTGCGCCACGATTGCGAAAAAGTGAAATCGCGCCGTGTATGCGATGATTAATGCTGCGATGATGAATGAAACATATTTTGTAACATACACTATAACGAATGAAACTTCAATATTTTCAGTAATATCGCCGGTGTGCGTGTTACCCTCTCTTCCCAATCCGCATCAACGCGATCCCCGCGATATCTACTATTTTATATACATCCCAAATCGGAAGTCAGATACGAAGCGCAGCGCGACAGCCGCATTTTTGTCGAGTTGAACGCGCACTTCGCGGTCCATCATTCCCTGAACTTGGCCTTCACTTTGGCGGGTAACGGCAACAGATACAGCACGCTGTTCAATATGATGAGACCGACGGCGAATGCCAAGGAGATCAATAGATTCAGGTTCACGTTCAACACCTCGGAGATGTTCTCGCCCTCCCTGGTGAAGCGCTCGATCAGGTAGGTCCTGCCCTCCGGGTATCTGCAGAGCTCAGGAACGCCCGGGCAGGTGAAGCTCTCGTTGTACGGCAGATTCGACATGGTGGGTACGTCAATCACCAGCTGGTTCAGCGCCAACGAGGCGTATCTGGTGGGCAACGCGGTCGACACCATCGCCAGCCAATAGGGCAGGTTCTTGAGACTGCGAACGGCGCCCGACGCGATCACCAGAGACAATAGGGTCATATACAGGACCGTGGTCGCGCCCGTTATGGGTCGTCCGATCACCATGAGAACAGCCACGGTCACTTGTTCAGCTGCTACGTAACTGGACCACAGAATACCGCAGGCATAGGCCCACGAGGAGATGTCCAGCTCCAGGATGGGTATCAGGATGCCGATCGTTATCAAGGTCGATATGAAGCTAAGCGGTAGGCTCAGCAGGGTGTACGCTGTGAGGAACATGGCGCCACCGTAGAGACCTTCTCGCTTCTCTTGGTAGTACCTCGCACGGAAACCTGGAACTGTGATTTAGATCCCGTGTTAGTTCAGCGATACAAGGTTAAAAATTCACTCTCGGCCGGTAAATTTGTGTCTAACGTCCGCTATTAACCAGTAAAGTAATCTACTTTTATTAGTGGCCGGATAATAGACTAGACAAGATAAGCAAGTCAGTTGATTAAACGAGAGAAATTACAGTCACAAGATGAGAAATCACAATTAATTACCAGGCGTCCGGGTGAACATCAATCAGCAGTAACGTAACGCATCAGTGATATAATTTCTCACTCAACAATGTAAACGTAATATGATACAGTGCGTTATGTAGCGTTTACGTCGTTGCGGGGGGAATTATTTTCCGCTGTCGGTTTTTCTTTCTTTTCGATTCACATATTCGTCGGGCTACTCACACATGAGCGAGGTCGCGGCTATTCCGGCCACGTAGAACAACGTCAAGACGTTGAAGATTAAACCACCGGTCTGTAAAAATATCCTCGACTGTACGGGACTCGAGTGTGAGTACAGTATGCTCATTAGGGCCACTAGAAACGGTAACAACAGCAGGCGAGCAGCGAAGTGTCCCAGGCCGATCTTGTTAAAGGAGAACGTAGCGGACATACCTCTCCTAAAAGTGTAACGATATCGCTGTGATTAATCTCTGCGAAGTCGATCGCGGAGAATCGCCTTGATAAACCCTTCGACTAATTTAAAGAGCGTGCTTTCTCAGAATTCCACAGAGAGAAATGTGTCGCGAAGAGCGAAGCCGCGATCGATAACAATTCCCTTTGCAATTTTCTCCCCCGAGAGGGGAAAGAACGAAGAAGGGGGACGGTACCTTTCCCAAGAGAAGAATATCAAACCCCGGCGAGAAACTTCCCATCGAAATTAGTCGTTCAACCGAAGGGGAAAACTCACAAGTATAGCGCTAAAAGGGTCGAGAAGCAGCCAGGCTTGATTCCGCGACCTAATCCTTTGTGCATGATGCCAAGGGCCGTGTCTTTAACGCTGTGCGGCACTTGCGGGGCTTCTTTCATGTAGAGCATGCCGTCCACTTTGAACTTCTCGACCAACACGGATATCTGCTGATTGGACTCCAGGAAGCGATCTCTGGAACGGCGATCGACCGTCGACAGGCATACTGAAAAGAAGTCGCATAATTCCGATGCACGCTCAAATGTAATCGTCATTATACTAAACGCGTTACGTGGCGTACTGTAGAAATTTAAGGAGCGTGCTCCTGATTGACGTGAACTGAAGTGGAAAATGTTCTACAAACGTAAGTCCAATTTGAATCCAATTTGTCCATCTACGAATGTCTCAAGTTTATAAATGACGGCACAGTTTCTCGGGACATTATACTTCCAATTAACATCGGGAACGTGCTCTTTAAGTTCGCACTGTTTAATACAGCATGTCACGTAACATCTTGTATATTGAGCCACGAATAGCTCTGGCGGCACTCACGATAATACATCAACGGATTCTCCAGTTCCGGGCACGGGAAGCCGATGTAGGTGAAATAATCCAGCATACTCCTGGTGGGTCCCGAGTAGACCACCGCGCCCAAGCACAGCAGAGTCACTCGACTGACGAAGGGCAGCACGTCGGACCTGGGCGTCTCCATGGTGAGGACGACGATGGAGCCGCGTCTGGTGGCGTAGGACCACAGCATCGAGACGATGAGGTACGTATTGAGCGGGTCGGTGTCCCAGGTAGGCTCGTCCAGCAGCAGCAATGTCGGGTCCTTCGCCAGCTGCACCCCCAACATCAGCCGCCGGTACTCCGGCCTGGTGAGATCGTTCACCGATCTGTTGGCCACCTGCGACAGCGCCAAGTCGGCCAGGGTCTGCCGCACTCTGGCCTCGCGGTTGTTCAGATTGGCGAGCCACGTGGCGTAGGTCAGACTCTGGCGGACGGTGAGACTCGGCAACAGATGACACCTATGCGCCACGTAGCCGCCGTGCCGTCGGAACAGCTCCGGCGTCAGCAAGCTGCCGTTCAGGGTGACCCTCCCTCTCTTCTCACCCTCCGCTCTCCCGGCTAAAGCAGTCGCGAGGGTTCTTTTAATCGAGGATTTAACGGCGCTTCCGAGAGACGATGTTGAAATTATAATCGGTACACCGAGATGTCTTGTATTCGTAACTATATAATCATCATAGTGAGGGAATTGCAGTCAGGGCCATTTAAGTCAGGATCAAGCCACATTTAAGGCACTTTTATCGACAAAAGAGTGTTCAGAATACGGGCTTGAAAATAGAACGAAAATTTCGACTCGGGTATGCGCATGGGGAATCGCTTTAAATTAAATCGCACGTCAAGGGGTTAATTCCTCCGTACTTCCGCGTACTTCCTCCGTGATCTCCTTTACTTTTTAAAGAATGTTTCATGACAACTTTTTATAGAACTTGACGAGTGAAACGTATGGAATACTCGGGAATTATTCGAGCACAGTGTAAAAATGCGCCGAGTATGACAAGGAGAATCGGAGGGAGGCGGCGATGACTATTTTGATCGGATTGCGAATAGCGCGATTACTTCCCGCGCGCTATATTCCCTCGCGCCTTCGCACGCGGCCGCAGACAAACGGGAATCGCGGTTATTACGGTAAGCGAAGAGGCGATGATGCTAAAAGGTTGGAATTATATTTACCGATAACATCGAGGAGTGCTCGCTTGCCGGAGCCCTTTGATCCCAGAATAGCTAAAACTTCTCCGCCGTGAACGCGGGCCGATACATCTCTTAGCACCGCCGTGGGCTCGGATTTGTTCAGGCAACTTCCTTCGATCACCACCGCGGTCGAGTGGAACACGTTCGATATGTCCAGAATGCAATCGGATGGAATCATCTTGAGGAACAATGTTACGTCCGGTTCCCACGATCACATCCCCCAAGGCGCGGCACCTGCGAAATAACAATAGAAAATTGCCGAGTTCGACTCCTTCTTCGAGCATACATCGTGAATTTATTATATACCGCGTTCCCGAAGTCGTTTATGTGAAAACCGCTATCTTCATTCGGTCGAAACGACGAGCGCGCGGATTAATTTAAAAACTAAGCGTAAAATCATTTCGACTCGAGATCAAAATTCTATCGTACGCGTGTCGATTATATTTTAATTTTTATATTTATTATCATTATTAATTTTTATATTATGTTATAATTAAATTCTGTACACACAATAGCGTGACAACTGTATATGGAGTATCCAATAGAATCCTCAAATGTTACACGGAAAGAAGGAATTGGCTGTCCGTGTGATACAATCGAAATTTAATTATCAGACCTGATTTTCAACGGTGGAAGCTAAAAACCAGGCGCAAGGACGGGAGGAATTAGCCGAATTAGTGAAATTTCACTTGTGTTATATGAACAACCGATTTTCAGTTGTAGTGGGGGGGCTGCTTCTTCTTTTCCCAAAGTTTAGAATTTTTACCCAGACGATACTTGTCACTCGTTCCCGCTCTCAGCCCGTTCGTTTATCCTCGCGTGTTACCTGAGGCGTCCGGACCAATCGATTAACGGAATCAGACCGAGCATCCACCGTATCAGACCAATACGAACCTCGCAGTCAGACGTCAGGGACGATTTCTACAGGGACGCAACATCTGCATAGGCGCGCGCCGAGGAGCGGGCGCTTAAATTCATCCATTCGAGCCGCACTTGACCGTGTCCCGGCGGTTCGAGGACGCCGGTGTTGCGCCTCCACTTCCACTTGAAAGATGCGACACTCGCGCGTCGACCTTCCCCGAACAGTAGGCGCTCGCCAAAATGGTCGAGCTCCAACGTGGATAACCGTGGTGTGTGAGCGTGCAGGAGGAGCGCCGCCACGAACGCGGACTGCGACGCGAACTGACCGCGCGCGGACCGAGCGGACAGCGCGAGCTGTAAAAGTGACTCGCAGCGGCAGCAACAGCGGCGGCGGAGTTGGGACGGCTGGGAGGAACGTAGCCGCAGGTAACGATACCTGGCTGGGAGTTGGCTCTCCTCGAGGTGAATGTCTTCGACGCGGGCCCGATGGTAGGGAGATCGACCCCGGGAGAGAGCAGCGGCGTAGGCCCCGGCTTCGCTCTTCGCGTCGTCGACGGCGAGCTCGGAGACGGCATCCCGACGAGAGAGGATCGCGTGTCCCCGCGTCGTCTCATTCCCAATCGAGCCCGCCTGACCTTCATCGAATATTCCAATTGGAATCTGCGCTGGTATCTCGCGAAAGGTGACGAGAGAGGCGGCCGGAATCGGCGGAATCCCGCGTGTTTACGCCGCTGCGCGAACTTGACGGGCCCAGCGGAGGGGTGCGTGTCGGGCCCGGAGGAGGGAAAACTCGTGGGGGCCTCGGCGGGTCCGTCCGTCGGCGGCGGCGGCCAGCGTTCGAGCAGGACTCCGGCGAGTCGCGCGATACCGATGGTCCTGACGCTTCGCGGCCGCGAATCGCCGAGCGCTGGAAGCGGACGGTGCTATTCCGAATAAAACGGACACCGGGGCGACGTCGTCGTCGCGACTCCCCTCACGCGTTCCCCTCCGACTCTCCCGCCGGAAATTCGTACCGTGGGTGACGCGGAAAGTGCGTTTTCCTTGCTCGGAGCCGCGCGGAAAGTGCGTCTCTCTCTCTCTCTCTCTTTCTCCGGTTGGCGCGCGCTCGTGCATCTCGGTCGGAGATCCGAACGGAGGAGGACGACGACCGGAGATGGAGAGGAGGCAGCGTCGTCGTCGTGACTCGACCAGCCTCCAAGGTTGAAGGCCCAACGCGAATACACAGCCGGTGAGTCATTGTCACGAAGATCAGCCCCTTCTCTCGCTCTCTCTCTCTCTCTCTATCTCTCCGTCTCTCTTTCCTCACCTTCGGCCGCGCCGCGTCCAGCGCGCTGGTGCTCTCTGCGATTTTTTGAACATTAGACGAGGCATGTTCGTCGGACCTTGTCCATTTGTGATTTTGCGCGGTTCGAACTGGCCTCCGGGACAAACGGAACTAAACTCGACGCGGCTTCTCTCCTAACATTGCCTCTCCTAACGTTGTACTTGAATTTGAGGGCTGGAGTCATCATTCCTCGTGAGATTCATCGGCGTTGTTTTGTATCTCAAAGCAGCAGGGAAGTTGGTGCCACGGGTCCTGGAGTATCTTTATATGTAATTGTGCACGGGAAAGAAAATATTCAATAGAGAATTATATTTGATGTAGCTTCATCAAAGGATCGCGACGTGGAGGAAGTGACGACTCAAAGGGTGCCCGACTAACGATTTACGCATCGAGCCGGAGGACGGAGAAGCGTGACGGAAATCCGATATTGCGCGTGCCATTTAAAACCCGGTGTAATTTTCCTTTCGGACTCGCAGATCGGAATCGAGATCTATCACGCTTCAAAGACGAACGTGAAAGAGCGAAATAACCGGCAGCACGTGGCGGGAATATCTCGGGCACACTTCCGATTACGCAGCGCGCCGATTAGGCGTGGCTATTATGCAACGTGTGGGAAATGTCGCGGCGCTTTCCAGGATGAAAAGGCATATTCTGAAATCCTGCGGAACCGCGGAGCGGATCGACCGCCTTCGAAAAAAGAAGTCCGGCGCGGCTGTTAATCACCTGTTGCTTTCACCGTAACGGCGGAGGCCTTTCTCGTTATGCAAAATCAGGTTTCCCGTCGTTGAACCGTGAATTAAAAGCTCGCATACCGCGTGCGTTAAACCGTTCCATACGTGCCTTCCCTCCTCCTCCCTCCCCCGGAATGGGGAACGAGAACGCGCGACCCACTGATGAACGGTCCTGAAAGATGCGAGACCCCGTGACTCGCACTCGCGTGTACTTCCTTGGCCCTTCGAAGGATCGCTATTGAAGGAAAAAAATTACTTATAAGATTGTTAGTGATTTACTAGTTAATCATCTGACCTAATCGTTTAACCCCCCCCCCCAAAAAATTGTTTCGAAAAATAGAAGAAAATAATGGGAAAATTAATGCACCTGTGAGATACATGATGCAATGCGACCATTCACAGGTGAAAGATATTGCGATTAACGAAGGATTAATTGATTGCAAGTAGTCTCTTTCTCAACAATAACATTATCTTTCCTTCTTTCGTGGCGATTATCTCTGATCGAATTTTAATTTTACTTTAAACCGGCAGTCAGATAAAAAAAGTTCAAGTAAAAACACAACTCCGTTTCGCTTTTTGCCGGTTGTTCTACTACGCGACAAAAAAAAGAAATAGAACGTTCGGGATAAAATAATTCGTTATGAAACGACGTGACGCGTTGCATTACGTTTCGCTACGCTCTAAACTGCAGCACAGCGCAGTTTTCTACCGCGCACGTGAAACCGACGCGTTCCAACTCGCGTTACATGCGAAAAAATGTAATGTCTTGCTTTCCTGAGTGGGCGGATTATTTGCCGATTAAATCACGTGTGCTGAAAGTGGCCGGTCCGAGTGTAGAATGAGAGTGCTGTGCGTTGCTCTTTCGCGGATTTCTCTGGAAAAAGTCATAATAATACGTTTTATTGTTCCGCTCAAGGACTAGTTACTATTCGAGCGAGAGAAAGGGACAGAGAGTCGGCGGATATCCTCTTGGCCTGTGGATTGCGCGGCAAAAAGTCAGAATCGGACTTTTCCCCGGTGAAAACTCACGGGATGCTGCGCCTCTTCTTTTCCTTCGCTTTTTAATTCCTAATGTCGCGCTCATCTCTCGATCAGATCAAGCGACGCGCCGGGTATCACCGAGCGGGCGTAAGATTCAGGCCGAGCTAGTCGCGAACAAAAGACTCCGCTGAATCCCGATATCTTTATTCATACCGCTCTCGAGACGACGCGCGTTTCCCTCCATAAATAAAAGCAAAAGCGTTCACTGCCGACCCGTTACTTCCTCCGTCGCATTCCGCGAGTTTCCACATTAGCAATTCAAAGGACCCACCGCGAGCGATCGCGAGCGGAAAGGTGAGAGTTCACCGTCAATCCGTTCACTTCGATCGGACACGCCGGATATCGCGCGGAATGTCGAATGTTATAATTCTATCGCCGCGATTTCACCGAGATCTTCACGCGGCCGTGTACGCGCGGGCGAGCCAACGAACGATCAGACGAGCGCGCGTCTCTTCGAGTCGCCTTCGCGAAATCATGAAGTCACGCCGGGAGACTTTAACGAGCGCACGGGAGTGCTGCTCGTCGCACGACGCTTCGAACGCTTTGCAATTTCAATTAGATNCCCCCCCCCCCGTCCGATCATGCCTCTTCTGTCCTTCGTCATTCGCTTGCGAGAGAGACATGACTACCGCGCTGGAATATTGAAAAATCTAACTACACCGACCTCGCCAGATACCGCGTTCTCCGATGTAGTTTTACGCTCCGATAGTGCTCATCATCGCTTGTAACGAAGTAGTAAAAGTACTTAAGCCGGTATTCGAACATCATCCAATTTTGTGGCGGAGCGCGACTGCGTATCTCTTGTGAGATTTGTATTTATAGAATATTAAAGTAGAAATACGTTCCACGGGGGGAAAAGATTCGTCTTAAATTGACCAGTTTTCCAATTTTATCTTTTACGTTGGAATCGCTTCCTGAAAATCCGAGTTTCGATGTCGATTAACCGATCGATCTTATTAATCATCGACTAATTGTTTCCTTACAACATTGCGTTTTTGTTCTGCTAATGACCGGTTCAACGATGGGCTCAATCTAACCGACGATTAACTAAACGAAATTGATCAATCGCATTGGCGAATTAACTGAATTGATCAATTGCGATTGGCCAATTCTGTTGAGTTAATCGTCGGTTAGATTGAAACCGTGGTGGTAGAGTCGGGCGCAAGAAAGGCAGAGCGAGCGAATGGTATGACAGAAATCTGCTCTGTTTCGGAAATCGCGATCTCGGGGCTAACGACGTTTCGTTAATCGAGGCAATTAACAATACGCGCGTACCGAATCGTTTGAGACGTGCGCGATATGTAGGTCGCCGGGACGGGATTTTCGGTAAACTTTCCACGGTTTCCAACCGCACATTGCGTGTGCGAGTAATTACAGCGCGGTACAATCCAGGCCATGGTGTACTTTATTTAGGTACACGGACACGCGTGCACGCTTGACTGGCGTACACGCGTGTAGAAATCAGTGCGTGGGACAGTCCCACAGTAGATCCTGCAGATCTCGAAATCGAGATATCGTTTCCGCCTCGTCGTCGAGAGAGAAAGAGAGAGAGAGAGAGACTCTCCTAAATAAACGCAGATGTTCCGTGATTGTGGCGATTCTCGTTTACATTAAATGCCATGGCGCAAACCGCGAGTACGGTGCTTATATACGCCGGCGAGCGATAATTGATCCAATTAGTCGCGAAAAATCGCCGGTGCGATTCATCTGATACGTTCGCTTCTTCTTTCAAAGGAATGAAGAAAAAAAACATGAAAAGCGGAACTTACGAAAGTACTTTAGCCGGTAGAGAAAGAGAGAGTAGAGTGGAGTATATATTTAACCCTGGGGTCAAGATCCCTTAGAGTATGCAGAAATGATACATAATAATTTGTTTTCGGATACCCGTGAGTCGACTTATCCATGCAATTACTTGAGCGCAACTATACGGAAAATAATTAATCTTAAGCCAATGATAGATATTCTCATATATAAGCAAGAATATTATCTTCTTAGAAGATTTTTAGTCTGGATTTGATTGAATTTTTGCATTGATGCAAGTATCGCACTCAATTCAAGACTAAAAATTTTCCAGGGATATTCTAATGTTTTTGCTTATGCATAAGAATATCTATCATTGATTTATATAAGACTATTTTTTTGTGTACGCAAGGAAACAAATGAAAAAAGCAAACAAACATGAAATCGAAGAGTTATCATTTTAGTGACGAGTAAAGGCGAGATAAGAAACGGGCTTTTAAAACGATCTAGAAACTAAAAATCAATATAATATAGTGTGACAGAGGCGAAGAAAATGCTGAAAGTAAAGGGAGAGATATTATTGGCAAGAAATACAATAAGAAAACTATAATTGGATACCAATATTCGAAACAAAGCATGCGGCAAATAACACTGAGTAATGTAATGCAAAAATGTAATACGAAAATAAGATAAAAATGAAGAGGAATATAAAGGAAGAAGCGTGTTTAAAGAAAAGAAAGAGCAAACCTGAGAAAGTGTTTACAGCTACATACAAGACAAAAGCGATAATAGGAAAGTCAAGAGAGAGAGAGAGAGAGAGAGAATTGCTCGCACATTCGCTTTTCCGAGGTCGGCAAACGTAATCGTTTTCAGCCGCTTGCCCCTTCAACTACACTAAACAGCGTGACCGCGGATTTCGCGATGCGAATTCGCGATCGTCGTAATCGCGATCACGCGACCGCGATTTTTTCCAGGTACGTCTGGTGAGATATTAGGCGTCACTTTCCGTCTGCTTTCGACATGCTCAGCTGCGCGCACCGGGTGCACTAGGCCATTTTTCCGAGCGTATCATCGCGCCTTTACGAATATCGCCGGCCATTCCGCACTTTCCTTCTCGTACTATTAAGCGGACGATCCAGTTGCAGCGTGGCCGCTTCGGGCAAAGAGCCGTGATAGGATGCGGACAGCGCGCGGAACGGAGCGTTTAATGGCGAATTCATAGCGCGAAATCGCACGGTCTTGGCTCGATACAACTGTTGCAGAAACGGGATATGCAAATGAACAGTTAACCGGGCCGCGAGGCGGTTATCGGCCGCTGTAAAAATCAGTGCGTTACGCAAATTGAAATGAACATAGGTACAACCACGGCGCGATTCAGCCACCGGTACTATTCCGAGGCAGCTGGACGCGACTATCTCGATATCGTATCGCGCCGAGAAGTTCGCCCCCGGGAAAGTCGCGTGCAGCGCCGGCTCTTCGGGAAAAACGGGATGCTACGGAGAGAAGAAGATCGGCGGAAACGTAAAACTACGCGAGCGGGGTTGCTGGCCGCAAACAAAACGCCGAACGCATGAAATTTTTTATCCGCCCGCCCGTGAAATTTATCCCCAGCGTGAGTCCGTCACTTTTTCCCGCGTAGAACCGCGAGCCACGCGAGTTTGACACGCGACTCGCCGAGTTTCAGTCTCGTCGAGAGGCAACGTCGTCGACTCGGGATGGCTCCGATACGCCGTCCTGCCCACTTCCCTCTTTTTCGAGAAAGGTGTTGGCCGTGTCCACGGCGTCTCTCATCCGTGGCGCGCGGGTTAATCATTCCACGCACGATCGTGAGACCGTGCGGGGAGTACTGGAAATACACGACGTGCTGCGACGAGAACCGCGTCCATTGTCGTCGTGACGATTGCGCGGGCGAATACCCGCGGGCTCTCTCCCGTTCGTATGCGGGCAGATAAGCCGCTCGCCATAAGTGCTGCTCACGTACGAACCGTCCCTCGTCGTCGGACCCTCATCGACGACACGGAGAACCCGAAACCGCGACCTCGTCACCGACGCGCCACATGCAAAAGTCCTACCTCGGCCTACCGTCGACTTGTTAACACACTTCTTTCGCGACCTGCCCCGAAGCGCGTCGTGTCTTTGCATTTTGTGTCACGTCGTGTGTGTCGCCGCTACGTGCTTATCGTCGACATTTCGCGAGATGCTCGGTACGTGAAGAGATTCGCGATCTCGCGGATTTTGGGTCTTTCGGTGAAATTGCGAAACGTGAGTTCCTCACGAAGAGAAATAACGAAGGCTCTGAGTAATCAATCCGAATGACAGACTAATATGAGCCGTCGCTGGATATTGGGCGTGATCGTTTAAATCTTAGCGGGGGGATAAAATTGTACAACGCTTGCGTTCAGTCGAAGAAGCAGCTTAGTGACCGCTTTGTGATTATCGCTCCCGATTGGTATATTCTCCTAGATCTATGCAGGATGTTTCATAAGCTTCAAATTTTTCCGAATTTTCTTCTCAGTGTGCCTAATCATACGCCTGTCAGACTTGTCCTCCGGACTTTCGACGTACGGTACGAGTCCTTGTTCGTTCAAATATTTGTCACGGTTCCTTATCGGACCGGCATTTGTCGTGACTCTACTACCGGTAGTGGTTGGAGTTTCGGAATCGCTCGTCCCTTTCCGAGATAATTCTGCATATGACAGCAGCAAATTCCACGACACGAACCTTCGGTATAATCGATCAGTCGTGCAAATGAGGTCGTCCAACCTCAATCCGCTCTGACATGTAACATCGTGCCGTTACTTCTGGATAAAAATGCCTGCTATTTACAGCTATTTACCGAAGGTGTCGCCGCGGAATCTCACGAAGCTCCGTATCACGATGATCGTCCGCTGAGTTCACCGACGAGCGGTGATCCTCACCATCGGTCCTCGTTACAATAGCACCGCGGTAGATATCGTACTTATTTTCTGCGCGGCGATCAATTCGACGCACGTACCGCGTCGCATG